AGCAGCGGCGGTGCGCGGGCGGCGGCGGGTTCAGCAGCGGCGGTGCGCGGGCGGCTGCGGGCTCAGCAGCGGCGGGCCGGGAGCAGTGCGGGCAGCGTGCGGGCCGGCGGCGGTCAGCGCACGAGCCGCGCAGGCTCAGCGCGGGCTGTGCGGGCTGCTCGCGGGCTGCGTAAGCGGGTCGCGGGCGGCTCGCGGGGGTTCGCGGGCAGGTCGCGGGCTGCTCGCGGGCAGTTCGCGGGCTGTGCGCGGGCTGCGCGGGCTGGTCGCGGGCTGTGCGCGGGCGGTTCGCGGGCTGTGAGCGCGGCGCGCTGTGCGGTTCGCGGGCGGCGTGACGGGGCCGATCGGGGCGCTAAGGGGCGACGCGACGGGGGCCGTGAGAGGCCGCTAGGAAAAAAAAAAAAAATTTCGACGGGGCCGCAGGGCCGCTAGATCGTGCTAGATCGACGGGGCCAGCGGGGCCGGAAACAAGCGAAGGTAAGCAGGTAGGTAAGTCGGTGGGCCCTAAGAACAGTCCTAGCGAAGGACCTGCTCTGAAACCATGTCAGAAATAACTGAGCAGGAATGAATGAACTAGAACAGAGTTTGGTACAAGTAGGAAACCCTAACTTTGTGTACCCCCTAAGGTGTAACCCACTACAGCCTAGACAATATAAACATGCAATGTTTGACACAGATGTGGCAGAACGGAGGTACGGGTTTTGGTTGTTGTCGGTTGCTGTTGTTGTTGTATCGTCGCTGAGTGTGAAACGCGAATTCCGGTACTGATGTCTTTCTCTTGTGTCGTTCTTCTTGCAGGTCCATGTCTTGCTGCTCAGCATGTATTTCGGCGCAGAGCGCTGCTTCGGAGATTCTTCCGTGGGCTCGGAGGATGGCCTTTGTTGCGCGCCATTGAGGACCGAGGCCGCCGATGATGACTGTCACGAAGGCGTCTTCAGAGATTGACCCTCCGCATCGAATAAGTTTGTCGCGCAGTTCGCGACATCGGCTGACATATGCCATCCCCTTTTCGCCTGGTTTCATTTCAACCGTTGTCAGTCGCGCCATTAGCCGACTTTGACTGACGCTGTCTGTTGCTTGATACAGGTCCTTGAGGTGCTTGTACGCGAGTTCCGCGGAGTTGCCGAATCCCCGGTAAGACCGTATGTTCTGCTGCTGAGTTGGGGTGATATTTCTCAGTAGGATCGTATACGCCATCATCGACTGATATGTATACTGCTGCTTCTCATACTGTGTGCCGTTTGTTGGGTATGGTACAGACCCGTCGAAGAAGCCAAGTATCTGCGCGCCTTCCATCATCAGCTCGAATTCGAAAGACCAGGTAAAGAAGTCTTTTCCGTCGAAGGGCCTTGACGTCTGCAGCTTTAAGACGTGCGCGAATTGCGACTGTACTTGTAGTGCATCCAGTTGTTTTTCTTGTCCAGATGGAGCTTGCGGCATGAAGCTGATGGACCCGCGTTCATACGGAGCAAAGGTAGGTTGTTGCTGATTTCCGCGCGCATATGATGAGCCGTCAAGACTCATTGGAGTCACGTTGTTGTTGTTGCTGTTGTTTGACTGCGCAGGTGCCGACTGCTGGTGTTGCTCGTAAAACGACATGAAGGAGAAGAACTTCTCCATCATGCTCTGGTCGAAGTTGGCAGGCTGGCTGGCCGAAGGCGCTGCTGGTCCCGTTGTGGTTCCTTCCTCTGTCTGCAGGCCAGAGGCAGGAGGTGGGGTAGGAGTAGTCCCGGGAGAACCATTAGAGGAACTCCTCTCCTTGTATGTTGCCATGTCGTCTGCTGATGTTTTGCCGGTAGTTGAATTTCCCCTGATTGCTCTCATACCATGTTGGGCTGAGAAGTAGCCCTTAGGATCTTTGCAGGGGTAAAATTCGGGGTAGGATAATTGTAATAGCGGAAGCGTTTAATGAAGTACTTGTGAACCACCTTGCGCTGGTATGTGAGGGCAAAGTAAGTTGATTAAAGCAAGCAAGTACAAAGATTTATATAAGAGTACAAGGAATACGAAAGGATACGATTGTAACTGTTTTACTGTTTTACTGTTTTACTGTTGCTTGTTGCGGTTCGATACAGTGACGACTCGGGCAACCGCTCTGTAACGAGTCGGTTGTGTGTCCTTGCTGTCGTACTGTACTTGTCAGGTTAAGGTCGCTGACCTTTGACTTTCGCGTAACCTCCGGCAACCTCTTTCAACCTCCGAGGGTTGACTCGCTCGTGCCTCGATATGACTTGCTTCGCTTCTGGTGTGATGTTTCGACACGACAGAGGCGCTTTAGGAATTACTTGTTTCCAACAGTTAGAAAGAGTAGGACAACGCTGGTGCCAGTAGAAATGTTAAAAACGGAACCCCTGAACACTCGTATTTTTGCCCTGACAGGCCAGGATAAATTTCTGCAGAAGCCCTGAAGCTACAGGAAGCCTCTGAAAATTTACCCTTACAAATCAGGGATTTTTTTCAGATTCTGGAAAGTTGCCCTGAGGCCTCAGGATGCCCCAAAACCTAGCACGGGCCCTGCACACATACACACACGTACACACAGACGCACACAGACGCACACACACGCATACACACGCACACATACGCACGCACAGACACACACACACACACACGCGCGCGCGCACATTCACATACGCACTTACACATACGCACACACACGTATCAGAATCCCAGCTACTAACCACTGGGATAAAAGGGCTTGTTTGTGTAGCGGGTGAGTGCGCCCATAACCCCCCAGGTCGTATAACGTGCCTGTAACCCTCCTCTAGGATCAATCGTGGATCACTAGTGGACCTCTGACACCCCCCCGCACTGGGATGCCCGAGGTGCACACACCGATATTTGAACCCAAGACCGTCGTTCTGATACTATGTTAGAATCTCAGCCACTAACCACCGGGATTAAATGGCTTGTTTGTGTAGCGGGTGAGTGCGCCCATAACCCCCCAGACCAACGTGCCTGTAACCCTTCCCTATGATCAATCGGGGATCACCAGTGGACCTCTGACAACACGCACAATATATTTTTGCTTCATATATTGATATGCAACCTTCTCTATGTTTCACCATTCCACACTTCAAATGTTCCTCATTCAATGATGGAGTTCCACCTGGATGAAACCAAATGTGTATTTAGTCTAAGAAACTTGAATAATATTAGGACCTGTGGAGGGAACATACCTCAACTTAAGCACAACCACACAGAGATTTGCGTGTATCCGTGTGCTTCTCTAGCGGGGATTCCTCCTTCTGGTGCATCCAACTCTCCACAGTCTCTGTGGAGTTCTCAATGAATTTTGACGTACCAATACCTCTATGTACTTTCTTCAACAGACTCTCTGCAGCACAGGTAAAGCACTAGTGCGTGTTCGGCAAATGCTCGCCAGCATTTTGCCGCAACACACCAAGGATTTCGATACCAGGTTGTGGCTTCTAAACAGATTCGATTGTTCCTGCCATGGCCTCCCATTCTCTCCGCCAATTGCCTGTTTCCGCCACCCAACTCTCGTTAAAGTCACCCGTCATTTCCTCGTCTCAGCGAGATTGCTTTCGCGTCCATAGCGTGCATAAGATTCGCCCGTACGAGCACTCGAGTTCGTCAAGTCAACGGGGTCAACATCAGAAGGGTTCATTGGGCGTACAGGGCTCACAGGTCTTACAACGCGTACAAGGTGTACCTGGATTACAGTGTGAGCGCCAAATACATCGCCTGCAACATCAACGACATTACCATTGCCATCATCGTCACCATCACCATCGCCGCTATCACGAATGCAGGCTATCTTACTCGAGCCCAGCACACAGTGTAAGCAGAGTTCTAGCCGCGGTTAGCCGCCGTGACTATAACGAGTACGCCGACCGCGACGGCGTAGCGGGGAAGCTTCGCTTGACTGAGTCACGCGAGGATACAGGAACGCGCGATGACACTGAAAACGCCTCTCTAGTTCGCCCTTCCACTGCCCCTAGCATCGTAGGGAGAAGCTCAGGCAATGACAGTAGAGAAAACACATTCAACGGAAGCACAAGAACTTGTAATGCCGCGAATGGTGGCGCGAATCACGGGCACGGACACGCCTGGGAGAGGCATGAATGGGGGAGTGACCACTGGGCCCAGTGCTCGGCTGTAGCAGGAGCTGTAGCAGCAAGTTTCGTCGGCACCACTCTGCTTCTCCCGCCCTACGCGCTCGCTGCTACTACGAGCAAAGCCGCCGCTATTGCCGCGGCGCAGGTCGCAGCAGCAGCAGCGGAGGCAGCCGCGGAAGCGGCCGCATACGCAGCAGAAGCAGCAGCGCAAGCGGCAGAAGCGGCAGCGGAAGCAGCAGAGGCGGCGGCAGAGGCGGCGGCGGCAGCAGCAGAAGCGGTGGGAGCAGTGGGGGGTGGAGCAGCAGGGGGAGGATTCATTCAGAACGCAGTATGGAACCTAGCCTCTTTGCCAGACCTCCCCCTTGTAGACCTAAAGCATCTGTCAGGGGTTTTATCATCCTTCCCTGTTCTCCTCCTCCCTTCCACCTTCCCTCTCTCGCTCTCCCTCGCCCTTCCCTTCCAAGCACAACTATGTGTCCCGCCTATTGCTCTAGAGATCGCTGTTTCTGGCGCTTCTGTTGCTGCTATCTCTGCCACTGCTGGTTCTGCTGCCAGTGCAGCGGCTGCAACACCAGCAGCAGCAGCGGCAGCCGCAGCGCCAGTTGCAGCGGCGGCAGCGGCAGTAACCGCAGCAGCAGCAGGGGTGGGAGCAGCAGCGGCATCACTAGGCGAGTGGCAGGACCCGGTGATGGGGCTGGTAACCTTGCTGGGATCTCTTATTTGGGTGCGGCTGTTTGATGAGCTGGCGAGGCGAGACCTCATTGAACGGGTGAGTTGTTGTTGGTGTGGCAGGGGTTTTGGGGACTGGAAAGATGAGCGGAGCAGGGAGAGGGGAGTATGGCGAGTGGAGAAGGGAGAGGGGAGTATGGCGAGTGGAGAAGGGAGAGTGACAGGACCCTGGTGACGCTGCTGGGATCTCCTATGTGGGTGCGGCTGTTTGATTTTTTAGGCGCCTCAAAAAAGACCCTGGTGACGATGCTGGGATCTCTTATTTGGGTGCGGCTGTTCGATGAGCTGGCGAGGCGACGCCTCTTTGAATGGGTGAAAAGTATGTGTGGCTATGGTTGGGAGTCAGGAAGATGAGCGCTGTTGCAGGCTATTAGAGTAGGGAGAGTGGTAGGATCCTGTCATGGGGGGTGGCGATGGTCGTTGTGGTGATGTTATGGGATGGGATTGACGTTGGGCGAGTGGCAGAATCCTGTCATGGGGGTGAGGTGAGGTGAGGTGAGGTGAGGTGAGGTGAGGTGAGGTGAGGTGAGGTGAGGTGAGTGGTGAGTTAAGACTGATCTTCATCCGCTCCTCCTTCCTCCCCCGTCCGCCTTTGTCCCCGCTATTGCATGTTTCACTAAGTGCAGAAGCTGAGTCGCAAGCTTGTGCACATCACCACAGGCCTCCTCTTCATGCTCTTCTGGCCCCTCTTCAGGTGAGCCATCCCCCTTCTCAGCTTTTCAGGTCAGCATCCCTGCTGCTCTTGCTGCTTTTGCTGCTGCTGCTGCTGCCGCCGCCGCCGCCGCCGCCGCCGCTGCTGCTGAACACCCACTTCTCTCTCCACTCCCCTCCCTGCCCTACCCCCTCATCCCTTGCAGCACGGGCTTCAACGTGCGCTTCTTCGCGAGTGCAGTCCCGCTGATCAACGCCACGCGATAAAAGAGTTGTTTTGAGACGTCTCAAAACAACTCTTTTATTACTCCCCTCCCTGCCCTACCCCCTCCTCCCTTGCAGCACGGGCTTCAACGCGCGCTTCTTCGCGAGTGCAGTGCCGCTGATCAACGCCACACGCCTGATGCTGCTGGGGCTGGGGGTGACCCGCAACGAGGGCATGGTCAAGGCCATGAGCCGTGAGGGCAGCTCCAGGTGTGCGTGGTGTGGTGTGGTGTGGTGTGGTGTGATGTGGTGTGTGTGGGGCTCCTGAGCCCCATCCGCCCTTCTTCCCCCTCCCTTACCCGCCTCCCTGCCCCCCCAAGTCAGCTTAAGGAGTTTCTGAACATATATTTTTTCTCTCCTCTCCCTCTTACTTCCTCTCTCCTTCTCCCCCTCTTTCTGCTTTCACCTCCCCTGCACACACTCCCTCCTCCTCCTTCCCCTCCTCCTTCCCCTTCGTGTGATGAGACGATTTTTGAGGCACGTCCTCCTTCCTCAAAAATCGTCTCTTGCTGCTTTCACCTCCCCTGCACACACTCCCCTGCACACACTCCCTCCTCCTCCTTCCCCTTCCTTACAGTGAGCCCCCAGGTGGCCCGCTTTACTACATCCTCACGCTAGCCTTCGTTACAGTCACATTCTCACTGCAGCCTTAGCTCGCCTCCTCTCTCTCTCCCCGTACCCCTTCTATACTCCCTGCCTCCCCCCATCTCCACCATGTTGCAGGGATTTTTTGAGAATACTCAAAAAATCCCTGCTACAGTGAGCTCCGGGGCGGCCCTCTCTACTACATCCTCATGCTAGAGGGTATTTTACTACATTTTCATGCCAGCCTTCATTCCTCTCCTCGTCCTCTCTCTCGTAACACCCTTCGCTCCGCCTCACTCGTCTCACCTCCCCTTCCGCCACTGCCTTCCTTTACAGTGAGCTCCTGGGCGGCCCCCTTTACTACATTCTGACGCTGGCCTTTGTTACAATCACATTCTGGCGCTCGTCCCCTGTTGGGGGCATGGCTCTGGCGCTCATGTGCGGTGGAGATGGTGGGTAGTGCGGTGGAGATGGTGGGTAGTGCGGTGGAAATGGTGGGTGCGGTGGAAATGGTGGGTAATGCAGTGGAAATGGTGGGTAGTGCGGTGGCAACAGTATGCTGTGTGATGGCAATGGTAGGTAGTGCGTGATGTGCTGCCAAGCTGCCTTGGGTCATGATGTTGCATATCTGTCAACCTCTCACCCATGCTTTCCCCTTAGTCTCCTCCTCCTCCCACCCAATACCTTCTATTCTCATCGCCCCTCTTGCGTTCATCGGCCCTCCAATTGGACTGCTCTCCCTCCGTGCTCATCTCCCTTCGTTTTTCCATGACCCCTTCCACTCACCCCAGGCATCGCTGACATCGTGGGGCGGAGGGTAGGTTCTGCGAAGCTCCCTTGGAACGACCAGAAGAGCTGGGCAGGGAGCATTGCCATGCTGCTCTTTGGCTACGGCCTCGCCCTCGCGTGCGTGCTCCCTTGTCTTGCCTCCCTGCCTGCTGACTTTTGAGTCGACTCAAAAGTCATCTCGCCCTCGCGTGTGTGCTCCCTTGTGTTGCCTCCCTCCCTGCCTGCATTCCTGGCGGTTTGCTTGCTTGCTTACAGCCTTGCTTGCTTCCCTTTGGCTATAGCCCCGCCCTCGCGTGCGTGCTCTCTTGTGTGCTTGCTTGTGTATTTGCTTGCTTATTTACAGCACTACTTGCTAGTAATAGCCAGCTACCAGCAACGTCATGCTGCCCTTCGGCTATGCCCCCGCCCTCTTGTTGTAGCATCCTCCCTTCCTCATCCCATGAGCACTACTCACCTCCTCCCTCGCCCCTCCCCTTTCCCCCTTATTTTTGGCTTGTAACATCCTTCAGCACCATTCATCTCTTCACAGCAGTGGGATTCTACTCTTCTGATTGGCTGCTGCTGCCGAACCTGCCTCTCCGAGTCTTCCTGGTCAGCCTCGGAGCTACAGTGGTGGAGTCGCTGCCAATCAGCGACAAGCTAGACGACAACCTCACTGTACCGCTCTCCACCGTCCTGTTTGGGCTGCTACTTCTGCAACAATGACGATACCCTACGAATCGACACAACTACGTAGCGCACAATAAATGAATGATCATCACAGCCAGCTGTGACAGTAACACTTGTTAAGTTGAGGTTTCCTGTTATGTTACTGTAGCAATACTGCCTTGCAGTGGATGCATTCTTCCATGCTGCTTGGGCAGTACAGCAGTCAGTCAGTATGTGCCAGGGAGCAGGGCTGTCGCTTGCCCTGGGCCCAGAACATAGCGGGAAATTCAGCCCGGTAGGCAGTGCACTTCTATACATCCTTCTGCACTTGAGCGTGAACACATCGTGTGAGTAGGTTGATGTTCAAATACACCTAAGGGCTGCGGTACAGCAGATACATAAGCCGATCTCAATGCAGCAGGGTGAATTGTATTTAAGGATATTTTAACGTAAGCTGGGAAGGAGAAACAAGGGAAACGAGGGGGTGGGGGAGTAGGGAAGGGCGCTGAATGTATACGTGAAAACGGGCTGGCCTCAAAGTCAGCCCTTGAATTCTCTGAGTTGGGCGCAAACAAGCACTTGAATTCAAGGACAAAAAGGGCAAATGCCCTTGTAGCGACAGGCCTGCCAGAGAGTCTACTCATTTTCACCCTACCCAAAACAATCATCCAGTCCAATCACACCACATTTCCCACAGCCAAATGCTTTGCAGATGGTGTGTGGTGAGGTGCGGTGAACTGCGGTGCAGCGCATTGCAGTGCAGTGAATCCCAGAGATCAGGAACCGGTAGGAAAAACAGGGCCTAGACTAGAGATCAGAAGAGGCCCAGAGATACCGGTAAGCAGGACAGGACCTAAAGATGCAGGACTTTAAAGATGCAGGACCTATCAATCAGGCTGACAGGCTCTATGCTGCGCTCGACCAATGCTGTCAATCCTTCCTGCTCACTTTGCCAGCTCAGCTTCCAGCCTGGCAACCTCCTCTCTGAGTGAATCCAGGAACCCGGGATTCTCTCCCATCTTCTGCTGGTACTTGGCAAATGCCTCCTCTGCTTTCTTCAGCTCCTTATCCACGCCCTGACAGGCATGGGAGGAGGGGGAATGCGCAGAGAGGGAGAGGTTGATGGGAGGCGGTGGGGAGGACAGTAACCTTTCTGCTGGTACTTGGTGAATGCCTCCTCAGCGTAGAGGGGCGGGAGGAGAGAACTGGGGGATTGCGGGGAAGTGGGGGTTGGTGGTAAGGAGGTTGGGAGGGAGGAGCGGGTGCTGGGGCGTGGATATCATTCTTTCAGTTGTGATTTGGTGGACATTTTCTTGCCGTACTCAGCCCACACCCCTTCTTAGAAAGGAATTCAATGACTAAATGCTGCAACATGAAAATTTTTTAGAACTATTGGAATTAACCGCAGAACGAGACCTTACCTTCTTGGCTTTAGCAGACAGCTCCTTGCCGTCCTTGTCATGCGTGGGCACGCCCTTCCGTCCCATGCGCTCTACTGAGTAGCTCAGAAGGAGGCAACCCGGCAGACACGCACCTTCTTGGCTTTAGCCGACAGCTCCTTGCCGTCCTTGTCATGCGTGGGCACGCCCTTCCGTCCCATGCGCTCTACTGAGTAGCTCAGAAGGAGGCAACCCGGCAGACACGCACCTTCTTGGCTTTAGCAGACAGCTCCTTACCGTCCTTGTCATGCGTGGGCACGCCCTTCCGTCCCATGCGCTCTACTGAGTAGCTCAGAAGGAGGCAACCCGGCAGACACGCACCTTCTTGGCTTTAGCAGACAGCTCCTTGCCGTCCTTGTCATGCGTGGGCACGCCCTAACGTCCCATGCGCTCTACTGAGTAGCTCAGAAGGAGGCAACCCGGCAGACACGCACCTTCTTGGCTTTAGCAGACAGCTCCTTGCCGTCCTTGTCATGCGTGGGCACGCCCTTCCGTCCCATGCGCTCTACTGAGTAGCTCAGAAGGAGGCAACCCGGCAGACACGCACCTTCTTGGCTTTAGCAGACAGCTCCTTGCCGTCCTTGTCATGCGTGGGCACGCCCTTCTCGTCGCATGCGCTCTACTGAGTAGCTCAGAAGGAGGCAACCCGGCAGACACGCACCTTCTTGGCTTTAGCAGACAGCTCCTTGCCGTCCTTGTCATGCGTGGGCACGCCCTTCTCGTCGCATGCGCTCTACTGAGTAGCTCAGAAGGAGGCAACCCGGCAGACACGCACCTTCTTGGCTTTAGCAGACAGCTCCTCGCCGTCCTTGTCATGCGTGGGCACGCCCTTCTCGTCGCATGCGCTCTACTGAGTAGCTCAGAAGGAGGCAACCCGGCAGACACGCACCTTCTTGGCTTTAGCAGACAGCTCCTTGCCGTCCTTGTCATGCGTGGGCACGCCCTTCCGTCCCATGCGCTCTACTGAGTAGCTCAGAAGGAGGCAACCCGGCAGACACGCACCTTCTTGGCTTTAGCAGACAGCTCCTTGCCGTCCTTGTCATGCGTGGGCACGCCCTTCTCGTCGCATGCGCTCTACTGAGTAGCTCAGAAGGAGGCAACCCGGCAGACACGCACCTTCTTGGCTTTAGCAGACAGCTCCTTGCCGTCCTTGTCATGCGTGGGCACGCCCTTCCGTCCCATGCGCTCTACTGAGTAGCTCAGAAGGAGGCAACCCGGCAGACACGCACCTTCTTGGCTTTAGCAGACAGCTCCTTGCCGTCCTTGTCATGCGTGGGCACGCCCTTATCGTCGCATGCGCTCTACTGAGTAGCTCAGAAGGAGGCAACCCGGCAGACACGCACCTTCTTGGCTTTAGCAGACAGCTCCTTGCCGTCCTTGTCATGCGTGGGCACGCCCTTCCGTCCCATGCGCTCTACTGAGTAGCTCAGAAGGAGGCAACCCGGCAGACACGCACCTTCTTGGCTTTAGCAGACAGCTCCTCGCCGTCCTTGTCATGCGTGGGCACGCCCTTATCGTCGCATGCGCTCTACTGAGTAGCTCAGAAGGAGGCAACCCGGCAGACACGCACCTTCTTGGCTTTAGCAGACAGCTCCTTGCCGTCCTTGTCATGCGTGGGCACGCCCTTCCGTCCCATGCGCTCTACTGAGTAGCTCAGAAGGAGGCAACCCGGCAGACACACACCTTCTTGGCTTTAGCAGACAGCTCCTTGCCGTCCTTGTCATGCGTGGGCACGCCCTTCTCATCCCATGCGCTCTACTGAGTAGCTCAGAAGGAGGCAACCCGGCAGACACGCACCTTCTTGGCTTTAGCAGACAGCTCCTTGCCGTCCTTGTCATGCGTGGGCACGCCCTTCTCGTCGCATGCGCTCTACTGAGTAGCTCAGAAGGAGGCAACCCGGCAGACACGCACCTTCTTGGCTTTAGCAGACAGCTCCTTGCCGTCCTTGTCATGCGTGGGCACGCCCTTCCGTCCCATGCGCTCTACTGAGTAGCTCAGAAGGAGGCAACCCGGCAGACACGCACCTTCTTGGCTTTAGCAGACAGCTCCTTGCCGTCCTTGTCATGCGTGGGCACGCCCTTCTCGTCGCATGCGCTCTACTGAGTAGCTCAGAAGGAGGCAACCCGGCAGACACGCACCTTCTTGGCTTTAGCAGACAGCTCCTTGCCGTCCTTGTCATGCGTGGGCACGCCCTTCTCATCCCACGCGCTGTACTTGTCCGCCGCCTTCCGGAAGATCTCAGACGGAGGTACAGAGGCAGATTGCCACCGGTCCAAGTCCTTCACCTGCGGTGCAAGGAGGAGGGATGCAAGGGGAAAATAAGTCCCTTGCCGTCCTTGTCATGTGTGGGCAAGCCCTTGTGACTTTTGAGTCGACTCAAAAGTCATCGGGATGCAAGGGGAAAATGAGTCCCTTGCTGGCCTTGTCATGTGTTGGCACGCCCTTGCCATCCCACGCGCTGTACTTGTCAACTGCCTTCCGGAAGAGCTAAGATGGAGGCACAGACGCAGACTGCCACCGGTCCAAGTCCTTCATCTGTGAGGGAGAAGGGAAGGAGACACAAAGGGAACCAAAACGAGAAAGGGCATTTGAGCACTACTAAACAGCCCAGCCCAGCCTCACCACCGTTGCCTCCACAGCACTCCTTCCCTCCCTGCAGTTTCACTCTGACCCTTCAGCCGGATCCCACCACAGCCTCCCCCCCCCCCCTTCCTTAACACATTCACTTCACCCCGGTTTACCCTTCCCCTCCCTCACCTTAGCAGCCAGTTTCGTCTGCAGTTTCCGCTTGGCCTCAGCAGCAGCCTTGGCGATCCGCTCATCCCGCTCTGCTCGCAGCACCTTGGGATCATCCAGCTTCACCACCGCTGCCTCCGCCCCCGCTCCACCCCGGTCCTCGCAGCGAATCCCAAGGTCCACCATCGCGTAGTCTCGCACTTTGTCAGTTAGCGACAGCAGCTCATCCTGAGTGGCGGTGCACAGCGTGGGGGGTGCAAAAGAGGTAACTTCAATCGCCCCGCCCCGGTCCTCGCAGCGAATCCCAAGGTCCACCGTCGCGTAGTCTCGCACTTTGTCAGTTAGCGACAGCAGCTCATCCTGAGTGGCGGTGCACAGCGTGGGGGGTGCAAAAGAGGTAACTTCAATCGCCCCGCCCCGGTCCTCGCAGCAAATCCCAAGGTCCACCATCACGTAGTCTCGCATTTTGTCATTTAGCGACAGCAGCTCATCCTGAGTGGCGGTGCACAGCGTGGGGGGTGCAAAAGAGGTAACTTCAATCGCCCCGCCCCGGTCCTCGCAGCAAATCCCAAGGTCCACCATCACGTAGTCTCGCACTTTGTCAGTTAGCGACAGCAGCTCATCCTGAGTGGCGGTGCACAGCGTGGGGGGTGCAAAAGAGGTAACTTCAATCGCCCCGCCCCGGTCCTCGCAGCGAATCCCAAGGTCCACCATCACGTTGTCTCGCACTTTGTCAGTTAGCGACAGCAGCTCATCCTGAGTGGCGGTGCACAGCGTGGGGGGTGCAAAAGAGGTAACTTCAATCGCCCCGCCCCGGTCCTCGCAGCGAATCCCAAGGTCCACCATCACGTAGTCTCGCACTTTGTCAGTTAGCGACAGCAGCTCATCCTGAGTGGCGGTGCACAGCGTGGGGGGTGCAAAAGAGGTAACTTCAATCGCCCCGCCCCGGTCCTCGCAGCGAATCCCGAGGTCCACCATCGCGTAGTCTCACTTTGTCGGTGAGTGAGAGCAATTCATCCTGCATGTGTGAGTGTGAGGGGTGGAGGGTAGAAAGGAGGTGTGGCCAATTCACCAGGTTTCGGTCCCTCGCAGCGAATCCCAAGGTCCGCCATCGCGTAGTCTCGCACCTTATCAGTTAGCGACAGCAACTCTCCCTGTACGTGGTGCATGGGGCAGCAGCACGTCAACACCAGGGGTGAGAGGGGGGAAAGGAAGTACAGTCAATTCACCACCACGCCCCGGCCCTCGCAGCGCATCCCGAGGTCCACCATCGCCTAGCCTCGCACACGCACTCGGTCAGTGATGCACAGCAGCTCATCCTGAACGGCAGTGTGGAAGGGAGTTTTCGAGGCGCCTTAAAACTGGTGCACAGGTTGGGGATTAAAAAACAAAAGAGTGGGATGCCACTGTTTTTGAGGCGCCTCAAAAAAAACAAAAGAGTGGGATGCCACTGCAATGCAATGTCCTCGGTGGGATTAAAACGGGCGGCTCAGTCCAGCCAGCACTTGCGCTGACTAACATGCATTTGCACTCTCATTTGTTTTCAGAGACGTCATTTGCCCTCATCTCACCTTGGTTGCGTTCCTTCGCACTGCAGCCCGCACATCGTCACGGAAAGTTGAAAAGCCTTGGATGTAGGGCAGCTGGCCAGAGGGGAGAGGGAGGGAGGGGTAGAGGGAGTGGGAGAAGGGGAATAAAGAGACAGAAGGTCTTACAGAGGAAACAAACACAGCAACACACCAGTGGTGTTTTGAGATGCCTCAAATGTTAGGGTAATTGGTGTTTTGATGACCCCCGTGATGATCAATGACACAAGAGCTTGCGAGTGACAGGCTCCAAACAAGCATACACATGTTCACCGTTTTAAAGCGCCACAGCAGGATTCCACAATCACATTTAAGCACTCAACGCACCACAATTGCCTCCTTGGATTGCTCGCCCTGAGCCCCTGCTGCTGCTCCTGCTGCTGTCATGCCAAACGAGTCTAGACTCGAGTCCAGCAGACCTGCAGCATGGGCAGTTGACACAGACGCACACAGACACAGACACACATGTACGCACTCAACACACAACGATTCAGTTTACGTTACAGGGTGCAGGTGGTGGACGGCGGATAGGCTTTTGACGCATCACCTTCAAAGGCATGCATGTCTTAGCCGCCTCTAACTTTCACCTCTAGACTTGGACTTGGACTGCAGGGTGAAAGGGTGAACGTTAGGCGTTTCAGGCGTTTCAGGCGTTTCTTAGCCGCCTCTAGACTAGACTTGGACTGCTAGACTTGGGTGAAAGTTAGGCGTTTCAGTTCAGGCTCCTAGAAGTGAAGGGCATCACTTTTGAGAATTCTCAAAACGTACCAAAGACCTGCAGGATCCGGGAGACAAACTGGGCGGCGGACTGCAGCAGGAGGGGCCGTGGGCGGCGTTTCTTGGCGGATGTGTCTTTGAGGTAGACGTTGGTGGCTGAGATGAGGTCAAAAAGCGCTGCTATGGCTCCCGCCGTGTCGAAATTGTCCTCCAGGCGAGTGCGGACCTGAGGGGGAGAGGTGAGGAGTGATGAGAATTGATGGTGGGGTGTGGTGGGGAGTGGTGGGGAGAGGTACACGTTGGAGGCTAATATGAGGTAGAAGAGTGCTGCGATGGCTCATGCCATATCAACGCTGTCCTCCAGACTCGTGTGGAGCTGTGAGGAGTGATGGGAAGGGTGGGGAGAGTGGATGATGAGAGATGACGTCAAAGAGCGCTGCAATGCTGCCTGATGAGAGTGACAACATTGTCCTCCCACACACATACACACTGATAAACCCTTGCAACGCCATCACGCACCACCACTCACCACCCTCATCCACCACACACCACCACTCACCACCCTCACCCACCACACACGTCAACCACTTATTGACTTGACAAAAATTCCACCCACCACGCACCTCAGCCTGTGCTGTGGCTACAGCAGTGTTCAGGGTCTTCTCCAACTCGCTCCACGCCTCCTCGCCCTTGTGTTCGCCCTTGTGCTCATGTCTAGCCTCCTCCACACTCTCTGACAGACTCTCCCCTCTGTCACTCGAGAGCTCTCTCTCACTGCATCAACCACCCACCTCAGCCTGTGCTGTGGCTACAGCAGCATTCAGGGTCTTCTCCAGCTCGCTCCACGCCTCCTCCATTCTCATCTCTCTCACACTGTCACTCGTGCCCCCGCTCACTCTCTGCAGCCACCACCCACCTCAGCCTGTGCTGAAGCCACAGCAGCGTTCAGGGTCTTCTCCAGCTCGCTCCACGCCTCCTCGCCCTGCTCCCCCTGTGGGTACGCAAACGAGACAGACATATCAAACAAAAAAGGAGGAACAAATTAACATAGGCCCGAAGGAAGGGTTCAAAAAATAGAGAAACACCATAAGTGAACAAGTTTTCTCCTTTGGAAGGATAGATATGGACAGCAGGAAAACAAAGAGGTCTGTTACCCTAAGGGACGGTGGGAGGGGAGGATGGGAAATGGAAGAGGGAGCATGTGCAGAGGGGTAGGCACATATAAAAAGTTATTTTTTGGGACGTCTCAGAAATGGAAGCGGGAGCATGTGCAGAGGGGTGGGGATAATGGGTGGGAGAAGCGGGGAAGGGGTTGGGGTAAGTGGACAAGGGATTAAGCCGTTCAGCACACTGAATCATCAGTACGACTCACTGCCGCGCGAATTTCAGCCTGAACGGTTTGGAAGAAGTTTCTGAGCTGCTTCTCCCTTCCCACCGCATCCGCCATCGCACCCTCCCCATAGTTGATTGGCTGATGGCCCGAAGCAAAAATGGGAGGTGGGAGGGAAGAGGGAAAAAAAGAGGGATGTTGGAGAGGGATTAAAGCCTGTGAGGGAATGTGGGCCAGGGTTGGAAAGTGGTTTTGAAAAGGTTGAGGGAGTGGGTGAGGTGGATGAAGGGGCGAGGTTGAGGGGGGTGGGTGGGTGAGGTTTTTGAGACGTCTCAAAAACTCACTTTTTACAAAAGGTTGAGGGGGGTGGGTGAGGTGGATGAAGGGGCGTGGAAGGCTCTTGTAGTACCAGTCTAGCTCAGAACAGCTTGAGTTGGGACAAGGCAGCTGGTGGGTGGAACAAACAGGCAAATCCAATCCTTTCCAAGAATGTTGACCCACGTTGTTGACCCACACTGACACACACACATTCACACACGTTGCCCCACGTTGACCCACGTTGACCCAGGCTGACCCACGTTACCTTGTCCCAGGCCTGCAGCAGGAAGAGCAATCTGAACTGGCGCGCACTGTACTTCTCTAGAGCCTGACGGGCGGGTGGGAGAGGGAGGGGAGGAGAAGCATGGTTGATGAGGTGAGGGGGAGAGGGAGGGGAGGAGAAGCATGGGTGATGAGGTGAGGGGGAGAGGGAGGGGAGGAGAAGCATGGGTGATGAGGTGAGGGGGAGAGGGAGGGGAGGAGAAGCATGGGTGATGAGGTGAGGGGGAGAGGGAGGGGAGGAGAAGCATGGGTGATGAGGTGAGGGGGAGAGGGAGGGGAGGAGAAGCATGGGTGATGAGGTGAGGGGGAGAGGGAGCACGTACGCTTCAAGAGCGTGAGGGAGGGCAGGGCATGGCAGGGCAGGGCACCACAGCCACGGCACAGCATGGCAGGGCACAGCACAACACGGCACAGCACAGCACGGCACAGCACAGCACAGCACGGCACGGCACGGCACGGCACGGCACGGCACGGCACGGCACGGCACGGCACGGCACAGCATTCCCCACCTGGCGGATGGTGATGAAGTTTTTGAGCGACTTGGACATCTTGAGCCCCTCGATGTGCAGGTGCCCCGCGTGCAGGAAGTAGTTCACCCACTGCCCGCACCCGTGAAACGCCTCCGCTTGTGCCAACTCGTTGTCGTGATGGGGGAACCGCAGGTCGCTGGTAGGAGGGGTGGAGGGGGGGAATGGATCAGGTGGCCCGCGTGCAGGAAGGAAGTAGTTCACCCACTGCCCACACCCGTGGAACGCCTCTGCTTGTGCCAGCTCATTGTCATGGTGAGGAAACCGCAGGTCGCTGGTGCATGCAGGCGGGGGTAATGGAGGCTTTGCATGTCGGCGAAAGGGGGAGGGACGAGAGGGGGAGAGCGTGTGGCAAAGTGTGGTGTGGATGGGGAGGGTTTGGCAGAAGAGACGTCAAGACATGCAGAGCATTGACCGTGCCATCCTGACTGTCAATTGATTGGCCTGTTGAAAAGCTAGAAGAGATACATTGAATAATGAGCCAAGAGGCCCTTTAGTACAAACAATGAGCAAGAGAGAGATGAAAGGGAAGCTTACCCTATTGGCCAATAAGTTGGCCAATGGGTGAGCTTGCTTGTGACCCAAGCAACCACAAATGTGTGTTGGTTGGGATTGGTTGAGCTAGGGACCAATCCCAACCAACCACAAAATGTGGTTGGAGGGTACACTAAACAACCCCCCAATTTATAAGTGTACTACAGATCTAATTCTAGCCTATGTATGTTGTACAAATTATGAAATTACAACACAACCCCCCAACATGCATAAGGCTAGAAGGCTAGAATCAAGAGGCGGGAGGCGACTTAGGAGGAGTGAGGCCAAGAAGACGAAGTAGGAAAGAGTGAGCGACATGAGGAAGAGCTTTTGTGAAGATGTCGGCAAGGTTGGCCGCCGAGTCAACCTTGTCGAGCCGAAGGTGCCCCGCCTGAACAAGATCGCGAATGAAGAAATGACGGAGCTCAATGTGCTTGGAACGCCCGTGAAACACGGCATCTTTGGTGAGGTGAATGGTACTGGCATTGTCACACCAAATGGTGGGACAGCGCTGGGGGGCACCAAGTTCCTCAAGGAGGAAGGTGAGCCAGCGGGCCTCTTGCGCAGCCATGGTGGCGGCATACAACTCCGCCTCGCAGGAGGAGAGGGCGACAGCCGAGGAGCGGGTGGAGCGCCAGCTGATAAGGCCGCTGCCAAGAGAGAAGCCATAGCCCTGGGAGGAGCGACGATCTGGCTGGGAATCAGCCCAGGAGGAGTCACTGTAGCCGCTGAGGGTAGGTGGGGAGGGGCCGCCGAGGGTAAGGACATAGTCCTTGGTGCCACGAAGGTACCGGAGGACACGCTTGGCGGCCTGCCAGTGCTCTTCCGTATGCTTGCCTGCGCCAACAAAACGAGCGAGGACGCTGATGGGGTAGGCAAGGTCAGGGCGAGTGGAGACCATGGCGTACATGAGGGAGCCGATGAGCTCGGGATAAGGATGGGAGGAGGCTGAGGGGGAGGTGGGTGGAGAGAGGTGGTGCCCGACAGAAAGAGGAGTAGGTTGGGCGCCGCCGCGGACCATGTCAAACCGCTCCAAGACCTGCTGCAAGTAATGACCCTGGGAGAGAGAGATGGTGCGGGCGGAGCGATCGCGGGTGATTGTCATGCCCAGGTAATGCTGCAATTCGCCCAAGTCCTTGCACTTGAGACGGCTGCCCAACTCAGCCTTAACACGCTCCAACTCGCTGAGGTCGGCAGTGAGTAGAATCATGTCATCGACATAGACAAGGATGTAGAAGGGGGAGGGGGAGGCGCGGAGGAAGAGGCTGGCGTCAGAACGGGAGGTGCGGAATCCAAGTTCAGCAAGGGTGGCGGCAAGCTTAGCATGCCACTCCCTCGGGGCCTGTCGGAGCCCATACACAGGGCGACGCAGCTGCCAGACAGAGTCCGCAGGGAAGGGAAGGTGAAAACCGGCAGGACGCTCCATGTAGATAAGCTCGCGGAGGACGCCTTGGAGGAAGGCGTTAGAGACGTCCATCGAGTGGATCTCCATATTGAGGCGAGCGGCGAGGTCGAGCACGGCGCGAACAGTAGCGGGCTTGGCAGTGGGGGAGAAGGTATCGAAGAAGTCAAAACCATACCGCTGCGTGAACCCCTTGGCGCAGTAACGAGCCTTGTAGACGGGCGGCTCCCCTGGCAGTTGTTTGACGCGAAACACCCACTTCCCCTTCACCACGTTCGTAGAGGAGGGAGGGCGAGGCACATCAACAAAGGAGGAGTTGGCGACAAAGGCCTCCAGCTCCTTGATAATGGCGGCGAGCCAGAGTGGGGCGTCGGGGCAAGCCATGGCCTCCTCATACGTGGTAGGGATGAAAACGGAGGGAGCAGAGGAGAATGCGAAGACAGGTGTCCCAGAAAGGTCGAAGGTGATGGGTAGAAGGGAAGGGTCACAGAGGTGGAGGTCAAGGAACTCCTCATGGGAGTCCTCAGAGAGGGAGGTGTGGAAGGAGCGGATGACCGTTGGTGCCGCTGGTGCTGCTGCACGTGCCGCTGCTGGTGCCGCTGCTGGTGCCGCTGCTGGTGCCGCTGCTGGTGCCGCTGCTGGTCCTGCTGCTGGTGCCGCTGCTGGTCCTGCTGCTGGTGCCGCTGCTGGTGCCGCTGCTGGTGCCGCTGCTGGTGCCGCCGCTGGTCCTGCTGCTGGTACCGCTGCTGGTCCTGCTGCTGGTGCCGCTGCTGGTCCTGCTGCTGGTGCCGCTGCTGGTCGTGCTGCTGGTGCTGCTGCTGGCGCCGCTGCTGGAGAGGTGGCGGCGGGGGCTGCTGCAGGGGGAGGTTGATGCAGAACAGCCTGGAAGAAGTGGTGAAGGAGAGGGGAGAGTGGGGGGAGGGTAGAGGTAGAGAGGGTAACAGGGGGCGGTGCACCAAGGATACTGTCTTGTGACCTGGTATGGGGGTACCGGGTTAGTACAGTGCGGGGAGGGGGGGAAGGACGAGTCGGCAGCGAGGGAGGTGAAGGAGGGGCGGGAGGGGCACTAGGAGAGGAATGTGTGGGGGAGACGGGAGAGGACAGAGGTTCCGGGTCAAATATATCACCAGACAAGGGAGGGGCACCGTGGGACGAGGACGACGGTGGGGGAGGGGGAGGGAGGATGGGGGGAGGAGGAAGTAGAGGGGGAGGGGTGGTGTCAGACCAGACAAGGGGACGGGGAAGACGGGGGAGTGGGTCAGTGGATGGGGGAGAGGAGTAGTAAGGAGTGGACTCATCAAAGACCACATCCCTACTGCGGAATAGACGACCTGAGGGGGGATGGAGGAAAAGGTAGTCAGGTGAGGAGGAGTTATGACCAAGAAAGATGCAGGGAAGGGTACGAGGGGCAAGCTTTCCCATAGAACGGGAGCGGTCAGCGGGGTGAAGAAGGACATAAGCCTTTGAGCCCCAGACACGAAGAGATGAGACATCAGGCTTGTTGTTCGTCCACAGCTCAGTGGGGGTGGTGGATGGGAGAAGAGGGTGAGGGTAAAGGTTAGTAAGCAGGGCGGCATGAAGGAGGGCGTAGCCCCACAGAGAAGGAGGGCAGGAGGCGTGGACAAGGAGACACCGGGCAGTTTTGGTGATCTCTCGAACACGACTTTCAGCCACACCGTTCTGCTGTGGGGAGTGAGGGAGGGTGTAAGTCTGAAGAATGCCATGAGACTGGCAATAGGAGGATATTTGGTTGTTAAGGAACTCACCACCACCATCAGAGTGAAGGCGGCGAACAGGGCGCCCAAAATGGGTGTTTGCTCGCTCGAGCCAGGCGATGATCGCAGCCGGGGCATCTGCCTTCGTCCGAAGGAGAAAGATGGACGAGTACCGACTGTGATCATCGACGAGTACGAGGAGGTATCGATGGCCCTGGCGAGTGGGAGAGGGATTGGGGCCCCAGAGGTCCATGTGAACAAGATCAAGTGGCTGAGCAGCAGCGGAGGGGGAGCTCCGGTGCGGCTGCTGCTTGAGCTTGCTCTGAACGCAGACGGTGCAGGGGGGGGCAGGGGATTTGGGGAGAGGAGGGAGGGAGGAGGGGAGACCATGGAGGAGACCGGAGGAAACAGAGGAGCGTAGAGTAGCGAAGTTAGGGTGACCTAGCCTGTGATGGAGGAGGACGGCAGGGTGGGAGAGGGAGCGACAGGAGCAAGAGGAGTCAGGGGGGGGGCGTGAAGGGAGGTCCGGGTTAGTGGGAGGGAGAGGAGGGGGTGGGATGAGAGGGTGGAGGGGAGGACGAGAGATGACCTGACAGGAGGGGAGGCGAGGAACACGAAGGGTGTACAGACGGGAGCAAGGGCAAAATGGAATGCGAGAAATGAACTGACCGGTGGCGGAATGGTAGAGAGCGCAATAGTTAGCATAAGCTGGGAATACTGTGGTGATACCGGCTTGTTGAAGGGACCTTTGCGAGAGGAGATTAGCGCGAAGAGAGGGTATGTGGAGACCGGTGACAGTGCCTGAGGGGAAGAGTGGGCAGGGGAGAGTCGAGGTGTTATGGCAGGGGATAGAGAAGCTGCTATCGGCGCCAAGGAGGGAGGTAGGCGTTGGGAGGGGGCGCAAGGTGCCAGCATCGCGAAGAACTGTGTCAGTGGCGCCGCTGTCAAGGACAAAGTCGACAGTGGAGGGGAGGGAGGAGGAAGGGACAGAGGACTGGAACGCAGTTTCTTTAGTGCTAGAGGAGTATGTGGCAGGGGCAGCTGATGTGGCTTGATTGACCATACCAGCAATACCAACGGATGAGAGAGGTGGGACATTGCTTGAAGTGGCGGAGCTTGTGGAACAATGCGGAACTGAGTTCTGCTGGGAAGTTGGGGGAGGAGGAGGAAGAGGCAGCTGCGCTTGTGCGCTAAGGTGCTGCTGCAGGCGGTGAAGCAACTGCTGGAGCTGGAGGAGGAGGTGCCAGAGCTGCTGGTGCTGGTGCTGCTGCTGCTGCTGCTGCTGCCGCTGCCGCTGCCGCTGCCGCTGCCGCTGCCGCTGCCGCTGCCGCTGCCGCTGCCGCTGCCGCTGCCGCTGCCGCTGCCGCTGCCGCTGCCGCTGCCGCTGCCGCTGCCGCTGCCGCTGCCGCTGCCGCTGCCGCTGCCGCTGCCGCTGCCGCTGCCGCTGCCGCTGCCGCTGCCGCTGCCGCTGCCGCTGCCGCTGCCGCTGCCGCTGCCGCTGCCGCTGCCGCTGCCGCTGCCGCTGCCGCTGCTGCTGCTGCTGCTGCTGCTGCTGCTGCTGCTGAGGAGGAGGAGGAGAGAAGGGTGGACTCGGGGCATGGTGGGCTTGGGTGGAGATTTTGCACTGAAGTCCCCGAGTCGGGCCATAGCGAGGCACATATTCACGAGGAGAGAAGGCTGCTGCTGCGCCGCAGCCTGCGCTCAAACCCCTGATACCACAATATCCTGCGAGTCTCCCTTGACCACCACCACAGCTACCACTATGCCCTCCTCCATGCCCACCGGCACCACTTCTGCTGCATGCCAGGGCGACTATTGCCATGGAGGGAGCAATGTGAGTGTGGGCGGTTACGGCATGGCGCAGGCGAGCAGGGCATGAAGGTGTGCGGTATGCGTTTGCAAATGTGCGGTATGCCGGGGAGGTGGGCAGGGGGCGGACGAGGGGACGGGGGACAGCGAGCGGGGAAGGAGGGCGTGCGACGAGTGCGCGGACGGGGAGGGCGCGGACGAGCAGGGCGCGCGGACGGGCAGGGCGCGGACGAGCAGAGCGCGCGGACGGGCAGGGCGCGGACGAGCAGGGCGTGCGGACGGGCAGGGCGCGGACGAGCAGGGCGTGCGGACGGGCAGGGCGCGGACGAGCAGGGCGTGCGGACGGGCAGGGCGCGGACGCGAAGGGCGGACGAGCAGGGCGCGCGGACGGGCACGGCGCGGACGAGCAGGGCGCGCGGACGGGCACGGCGCGGACGAGCAGGGCGTGCGGACGGGCAGGGCGCGGACGAGCAGGGCGTGCGGACGGGCAGGGCGCGGACGAGCAGGGCGTGCGGACGGGCAGGGCGCGGACGAGCAGAGATGGGCGCGAAATGGTCAGATTTCAGCGCGGGAGATGCAGATCTGGTCGCGCGGAGGGCAGATCTGGGCGCGCGGAGGGCAGATCTGGGCGCGCGGAGTGCGGGCGCGCGGAGTGCAGATCTGGACGTGCGGAGGGCAGATCTGGGCGCGCGGAGTGCAGATCCGGGTGCGAAATGTTCAGATCTGGGCGCGGGAGGAGGAGATCTGGTGGCGCGGAATCCAGATCTGGGCGCGGAATGATCAGATCTAGGCGCGGGAGGAGTAGATCTGGTCGCAGGGAGTGCAGATCTGGGCGCTGGAGTTGCAGATCTGAGCGCGGGGAATGCAGATCTGGGCGCTGGAGTTGCAGATCTGGACGTGCCTTGGAGGGCAGCGCCTTAGGGGGCGCACGGGGAGGGAGGACAGCGCCTTAAGGGTGCGTGAAGGGAGGGCAGCTCCGTGGGTGGGGCTAGATCTGAGGAACGGGGAGGAATAGATGTGAGCTCGGGAGGAGTAGATCTAAGCTCGGGAGGAGTAGATGTGAGCTCGGGAGGAGTAGATCTGAGCTCGGGAGGAGTAGATCTGAGCTCGGGAGGAGTAGATGTGAGCTCGGGAGGAGTAGATCTGAGCTCGGGAGGAGTAGATCTGAGCTCGGGAGGAGTAGATGTGAGCTTGGGAGGAGTAGATCTGAGCTCGGGGGGGATAGATCTGAGCTCGGGAGGAGTAGATGTGAGCTTGGGAGGAGTAGATCTGAGCTTGGGACGAGTAGATGTGAGCTCGGGAGGAGTAGATCGGAGCTCGAGAGGAGTAGATCTGAGCTTGGGAGCACCGTAGTAGGACTAGGTCTGAGGGACGGGGAGGAGAGGGTGGCCTTAGGATCGAGGGATTAAGGCGTGAGCCAATAGCTCATGATACCATGTTGAAAAGCTAGAAGAGATACATTGAATAATGAGCCAAGAGGCCCTTTAGTACAAACAATGAGCAAGAGAGAGATGAAAGGGAAGCTTACCCTATTGGCCAATAAGTTGGCCAATGGGTGAGCTTGCTTGTGACCCAAGCAACCACAAATGTGTGTTGGTTGGGATTGGTTGAGCTAGGGACCAATCCCAACCAACCACAAAATGTGGTTGGAGGGTACACTAAACAACCCCCCAATTTATAAGTGTACTACAGATCTAATTCTAGCCTATGTATGTTGTACAAATTATGAAATTACAACATGGCCCTTCACCCACTTCCCCCCACAAGCATTATCTCCTCCCCCTCCCTATTTCACTCTTACCCCCCCCACCTCCCCCGTCATTTCCTTCCCCACTCACATGCCCCCTGAGTGGATGTCCATGGGAAACCCAACGATATCTGACGCCATGGCAGAGCACTCAATGTGCCATCCTGGCCGTCCATCGCCCCAAGGGGACGGCCACGATGGCTCCCCGGCCTTGCTGGCCTTCCACAGGGCGAAGTCGCTCCGGTTGCGCTTCTCTGACGTGGCAAAGTCTGATTCGCTCTCCGCTGCCAGCTCAGCGCTGCCCACGGACCACGGGCAGAGCTTCCCATACATGTGGCCCGATTCCCTGTAGCAGGTGAGGGGAAGCGGGAGAAAGGAAGGAGGGGGGGAATGAGAGGGAGAGGAGAGGGGCGGGAGACTATCCTGTCCCGTTGATAGCATAGGCAAAGAATCTAGAGCCAACTCACAAACCAGGTTATAGATCACATACCACCACACACCACCACATACCACCTCATCAGCCAACCCACTTGAATGCCTTGGTGTCAAAGTAGTCACTTCCGTTAACGACATATGCAAAACCTTCTGACTTCACAGTGAGCTCACACCAAACCACACCACAAGAAAAGCTAGAGAACACACACCACACCACACCACACAAAACCACACCACAAGAAAAGCTAGAGAACACACACCACACAACACCAAACAACACCACAAGAAAAGCTAGAGAACACGCACCACACAACACCACACCACACCACAAGAAAAGCTGGAGAACACACACCACACCACACCACACCACAAGAAAAGCAGGAGAACACACACCACACCACCTTGTGAACTCACTTGAAGGCCTTGGTGTCAAAGTAGACACTCCCGTTGGCGGCATATGCAAAACCATTCTTGATTATCGTGTCCACATAGTTGACAATTGCGTCTATGTACCTGGAGCGGGAAAGGTGGGGGTGGCAGGAAGGGAGGGGAGGAGGCGTTTTGTGATTATCGTGTCTAAACAGTTGACAATTGCGTCTATCATCTATGTACCTGCGGGGGGGGCGGGCGGGGGAATGGGGGAGGCAGGAGGGAGGAGAGGAGTCTTGAGGCGTCTCAAAAGCTAACAGTGGGACACGCGAAGCCGTTTTCAATCATCTTGCAAACATAGCTGGGAGAGGGGCGGAGAGAAGAGGAGAGGTAAGGGACGGACGGACGGACATGGAGGGACGGGAAGGAGAGTTCTGAGACGCCTCAAGACTTGTCCATGCACCCAGGGGAAGGATGTGATGTGAACAAGAGGAGGGACATGGGGTCCGAAGGTGGGGGAGGGGCTGGTGAGGGTGGTTGGTTGGTGGGATCAGGTGACTAAGCCAAGCACTCTAGGACATCAAACAAAGAAGCTGTCTTCTTTAGCACGGAAGTAGTTCGAATCTGGTTGAACCCAAAGGGATTTTCTTCAGAAACGCATGTCAAGTCGGCACAGCACGTACTCTGTGACACGTGTCAGCACGTGAGGTGGCCGCACTCCAAGCGCCTTCATATCCTCAAAGAACTCCACTTCATACCTGTTATAAGGGTTTTGATTTGGGCACAAACATGAAACGCATAGAAACGGGATGATCAGAGAAGTGACAAGAAATGAGACGGGAAGCAACAGGATACTTTTTCACTCACTCACTCACTCACTCACTCAATCACTCACTCACTCACTCACTCACTCCCACTCACTCCCACTCACTCACTCACTTGGCAGCCAGGCGTCTGAATATAGACACATCAGTGACAGTCGCCTTCAGCTTTGCATCCAGCGACGCTGCCAGTGCATCTGCTGCTGCCTCTGCTGCTATCCTCTCACCCTCTGCTGCTTCACCTGCTGCTTCCCCATCTGCTGCTGCTGCTGCTGCTGCTGCAGCCCCATCGGCTGCTGTGCCATTAACTCGTACCTCGTCACCCACCCCTCCCCCCTCCTTCGCCTCCACCTCCTCCGCTCGCCGCCCCAGCAGAAGAGACAGCCCGCGCCGCCCGCCAGCCGCCACGCACGCCGGGCCCAGCCGCTCCAAGACAGCCTTCGCCGCCCCTTCCAGCTGCTGCAGTTTGAGCTCCTCCTGTGCGGCCTGCTGCAGCAGCGTCTCTTTCTTCTTCTCGTTGCCCTCCCCCTCTGCTGTCTTCTTCAACCCCTCAACCACGCCCCGTTGTTTCTCCACTGCTGCTCCCAGCGCTGCTTGCGTGTCTGCCAACACCTGCACTTGGGAAGAGGGAGGATAAATGAAGGACTTTTTGAGTCAACTCATAATCGAACTCTTCTCTGCTTCTCTACTGCTGCTGTCAGTGCTGCTTGTGTGTCTGCCAAGACCTAAACTTGGGAATTGGGGAGAGGAAAGGGTGGAGGGAGGACGATAGAGGGAAGAATTCTCGATACGATTGGGAAAGGAAGGTAAAGATTGATACGAAAAGAGGTTGAGTTGAGAAAAATGGAAATGACTGTCAAAATAGCCTATCTGAACGACATCTGACGTGGCAAGGTAGCTCACCTGGGCGGCATCTGACGTGGCAAGGTAGCTCACCTGGGCGGCATCTGACGTGGCGTGGAGGTACTGCTTGATGAGGTAATCCCTCCTGGCCCTCACAATGATCTTATCGTCCACGTCAGTCACGTTCATCACATAGAACACGTCATACCCGAAATAGTCCTGTTCGGTACAAGATACACGAAGATAGCAGAGACGCACAAACAGGCTGAAATTAACGGAATGGTCATCTCACAGACAAGAAAAGCATGTGACTGTAAGGAACTAAAGTCACCTCAAGAATGCGGCGGATAATATCGAAGGAGAGGTACGTTCGCGCGTGGCCGATGTGCGACGAGTCGTACACTGTAGGGCCGCAGATGTACCACGTGACTGTAACGAGAGGGTGGGGGCGGAAATTTTAAAAAGACCAATCCCGAGAATTGAAGGGTTTACTTGCACGGAATACCAATTTTTGAGTCGACTCAAAAACCGAGAATTGAAGGGTTCACTTGCGCGGAATACCAATAAACTCCACGACGATTGCAAATGTCCGATGCGATGGCTTATTCAATCCAGCCAATGATATCGATTCGCGTTAATGACGGATCCACTAACCCCCAGCATGCCTTTCGTAAATGCTAGATCGTCTGATTTCGCTATGGAGGACGGACCTACCTCGTCGTCCGTTTTGCGGAACAAACGGTACTTTCTCGATACACAGGCTGTTGTTCACACGCAGACCACCGCCGGTACTACCGCCGCTACTCCCTTCCGCCTTCCCGTCAGCGCCACCTCCCGGAGGAGTCCATCGCGCGCCGAGCTGACCCGGCGCCGCATCTGACGCCATCGCGAGTGATCCCGCGATGCTGCGTTGACAGCAACTCGGTCACGCACACTAGAAAGAAATCGATGGTGGTCTGGTCTTGGGGGTGCCGTGCCGAGCAATGGAGGAAAAGGTTTGTCGAAAAATGGGACTGCTGATTGGGGACCTTAGGGATCAGCGTGGGGGACTTGTGGTAACACCTTGAACCTGACGAGCGAAAGCATTCTGGGCTTGGTTTATGATTTCGCAACAGCAGATTGCGAATGAACGAAATCGTTTCTCGCATCGTGGTTGGCTGGGTGGCTTCACGCCTGCATGGCAGGCAGTGACCGTTGTGTCTCGTGTTTTGCCGCCAGATTCTAGTAGCAGTTTTAGCAAAACAGGACTTGAAAGTGGGGAAATTTCAATTTGTTTACGTAAGTGTGGGTCTGGGAACAACATTTGCGAGGGACTTGATCTCTGTTCACGTATGATTGGATCACAGAAACGACCTTTCAGAGAAGAGCTTCAAATTAGTTACCACCGGAAACCAGAATAAGTTTGAGCACTAGACGTTCCTGTTTGTACCCGCTAAAATACTACATCATATTATATCTAGACCTACACCCTCCTACACACACCCGCACTCGCTTTGGCTGTGCTTCAAGAAATACTCGTTCCCAGATTTCTCCTCCACACCTTCAGAACTTCCAACGAAACGCCATCCTGGTTTTCCCAAAGCATTTTGTCCTCCTTCCTCCCTCCCCCCATCCTAGAACTTCCCGATAGCGCGATGGCCTCCTCGGCCCAAACTACCCGCCTGTTAGGCTACGAAGCTAGTCAAACCCTAAGCCGCCTAGGCAGGTTCCCCCTATACGACTCAGCTTCGTTTCCAGGTAAGTTTATGCTATCGTTTTTCTTTTTCTCTCTCTTTTCTACAGCTCTCGTTTTTACGTGGTTACTCCCCACCCCGGCTCTACAACAGCAGGACAGCCCCCCACTCCCCGCCCCCCTCTACTTTTCGACTCCAATTGGCCACTCCCCCCCCCAACGGATCACTGGCGGACTCCCTCCCAGCCTCAACGCGCCACGTCAACTTTCGCTCTAGGTAAGTGCAACCCTCCCCTTCTCCTTCTCCCCCGTGGCATCTCGCGCTCACTGCAAATTTCTGCTCCAACCTCAGCGCCAGCTAACCCCAACTTCCCTCCCTTGTTCCGTGCGCACTCACCCAATCTCACTCCACTCCCTCGCCTCATACCCGTCCCCTCCCAGGAAACTCGGCTGCGTTGTTTCCAAACCCTCACCAACAGATCGGCCTCCTCCTGCCAAGCTGTCCCGCTCTACATCGAACACCAAGGACTTCCTCGACAAACTGCCATCGCCGAATACAGCTAACCTCCCATCTCCTCCCGTTTTTCTGGTCGCTTTCTTCCCTGCCTTCGTCCCGCCTTTTTCGCCTACGTGCCATCTCCTCTTGCCTCTGTACTTCCGTGCCTTCCCAAGCGCCAACACTCCCGTACCTCCCGTCCCCCCTGGCAATTGTGCTGCATTTTTCCCGCTTTTCACTCAAGCGCCGCCTCCGGCAGAGCCCTCTACATGGCTCAGAAACTCGGTGCGCCGCCTAGGCTGCCAGTTTCGTTTCTCGCGCGCGAGCGCTCGGACCCTCGAACGGTCCCGAGTTTCGGGCTGCCAACTAGGCGCCCGCTCCCGCCTCTGGCCCTCAATTTACTCGCCCCGTCGCCACGTTTCCCTTTGCCTACGCGCTGCCCATGCACTTCCCGGCATTCCCCTTCCCGTCCGCCCTCCCTCCAACCCTTCCCAACGAGCCGCCATCAGAGCCTCGCCTCCACGGCGTCACACCCGTCCGCCTCCGCCGCGTCTCTGCCTCCCCTCCGTCCTGACGCTCCCCCGCGGGCGCTCCCTCGCTCCCGCCCTATTTAACCCACCTCAACTTTCGTCAATCACTCAATTCTCTTCTCCCAGTCCCCTACGACCCCTTAACACACCCCTCTTAATGGCTGAGCAGGTTTTCAACCCCGATCTGACGATGTCCGCCGCTGAAGAGGAAATTATCGCTGAATCCGGTGACGATCTCTTGGTCGGCGACCTTCTCGAAGGACTTATCGATGACCTCACGAGCTCCCCTGACCACCCTGCTGCGAAGAAGCCCTGCATGGACCCCGGAGCCGGCCCTGCTAGCTTCAACTCCCCCTCTTCCTCCTCCGACTCGGCGCTGGCGCAGCCCGCGCCGTCTCCCGTGCTCCTCGCTGCTGCTGCTGCTCCCACGTCGACTCAGCAAGGCCCTGCGCCCTCTCTGGCAGCAACAGCTGCCGCTCCCAACGGCCCGGTTCTTCGCCCTGCTGCCTACGCAACGGTCGCCTCCGGCGCTAACCCGGCCCCCGCGCTGCCCGCCTCGCTCTTTGCCTCATCCGCGCCCGGCGGATCCCCCCGCAACCTCCGCCGCGCTCGCACTTCCGCAGCCACCCCGATGCTCCTTCCCCTCCGCCGCCGCGTGGTAGTCACGCTCCTTCTCCCGGAGGCTGTGTTGGAGTCGCATCGCACGGAAATCCTCGCCGGGATCAGCGCACAGCTATGCGGCTTCATGTTTGATTCGGGCATCATCCCCCCCTTCGAGCACACCATTGGCGAATCCCTCCGCGTGGCTCGCCATGCGTACGGCCGCCTGCTGTTCTCTTGGCCGTCACAGGAAGACGCGGCGGTTTTTCGCAAGATTTTTCCCCTCATGCTGAAAATCTCCAACTCCCGCCCCGTCATGTTGAAAGTTTTTGTTGATCGGTCTGCAGTTTTTACCGCGGCAAAAGCAGCCGGCGCTCCTACCCTTTCCATCCGAAACGTCCCCCTGGAGATCGATCCGGAGGAGCTTCGTGCCTTCCTCCTCGGGTCCACCGAGGAGGACGGTTCGCATTGGCTCGCGGACCTGACTGAACTTCACCGCGCTTCCGATCCCTACGAGAACACCTTTTTCACCCACCTCGCAGGGCTCCCGGTCGCCACCCCCGATGACCCGAATTTCGAACGTATCCTGTCCGAAATCCTGCTGGAGGAGAACCTACCAGCTATGCTGCTCAATTTCTCCTGCCACGTGTGCACGCTGTGCGGCAACAACCACCGCGCACCGGACCACGAGACCTTCGCTGCCCGCCGCCGAGGACGCCTCACGAACAAGAACACAATCTCAATTGCTCAGCTGCAGCAGGCAAATGGTACGAAATCCGCTTCCCTTGTCTTGGCCGCCAAAACCTTCCCTCCTCGTTGTCACTACACGCCCTTAGCCTGCCTCCGCTGCCCTCTCATGTGCTCCTCCGCTACCCCCCATCCACCCACCACTCCCCCCTCGGTCTACCACCTCCCCATCGCGCAACTTTCATGCCCCCATCCAACACCCGCGCTCTCCCCCCGCTGTCCTCCCCTCCCTAAGAGCCCCCGCCCCCCACTGCCTTGCCGTTCCCCCCCCGCAAGGCCGCCTGGGCCCCTGCCACCCCCACTTTCACCCTGCCCCTACCCACTCCCTTCGCTCCCTCCCTTCTCACCCCTCTCCTTGTGCCAGCTGCCCCCCCTCACCCTGTCTTCCCCCCTGTCACCCACCCCTCCCTTACAGGTCCCCACCCCCCGGCCTTCCATGCTGTGGGGCTCCCACTCAACCCCTCCTCCCCCCCACGCCACCCCCCCCTCCCTGCTCTTCCCAACACATGCAGGCAAGGCCCCCCCCATGAACACTCAGTCCCTGTCACCTCTGTACCCCCCTCTCCCCCCCCTACAGTCGGGCCTCCGCCCATCCTCACGAATCCCCCATATCCCCACTCCCCCCACGCAGTCTCCGTATCGCGAAATCTCTTTTTCACCCATGTTCCCCCACCCCCTGCCCCTTCCCACGTCAACCCCCCCCACACAACACTCCCGCCCCTTCCCCCTCTGAGGACAGTACCCCGCCCTCCCACAAGCCCGCCCCCCACCCGCACCCTCCCCCACTAGCAGAATGGACCCTCTTACGGTACCCCCTTTTCTGCCTCCTCCCGACTCTCCTCCCATGGTCCCTCCAGAGGGCGGGCCCCCTGCCCAACCCTACGCTGGCATGGAGACACTCCCCCCCCCCGCCATATCCCCCCCTTTTTTCAACCAGCACTCCTCTCGCTTGCTCCCCCCCACCCCCCCGACCTCCCCCCATACTTCCTCTCCCCCGATTCCCCTCCTCTCCCCCCCCCTACCCTCAATCTCGCCCCCCCCCCCCCCCACTCTTTTCACCCCCTCCCTCACTTTCTTCACCCCCCACCCACTCAGGGACTCATCTGCAACCGCCCCCTGTGCTATGACCGGGCTGCCCGACTCCCATCGAGGCTCTCCCCCTCTGCCAACAGCCCTTTCCCCCCGGTCTCTCCCACATTGCTCTCGAGCAGGCCGATCCTCCCCCCTCTGGTTCCTTTTCCCCCCCCGCCTGGACCCCCGAACACCCCCGCCCCTCCCCCGCGCCTCCCCCACCTCCCTGCACCTCCCTCCACCCGCAGCCAACCAGGCCACATGGTCTCCCCCCTCTCGGCCTTCACCCCCACGTCCCCCTCCTCCCTGACTCCCCCACCCGCCCCTCATCCACCCCCTCGTCCCCCCTGCCCCCCCTGCCTCACCCCAACCGCCTCCTCTCTTGCAGGCAACTCTTTGGGCAATCATGCCGCGCCGACCGCTTTCAGCAACGACCCCGGCCTCCTCTACATTGGGCTGGGCGATTGGGTCGAATATTGGACCTGCACTCTCTGCGACTTCACCTGCGGCGCTGCCCTCGACAGCGCCATGGAGCATATCCAGTCCGACCTGCACGTCACCCGCGTCAAGGCCTCCGCTCACCGCCCGGCTGCCAAGGAAGAATTTGGCCCTTGGCGCGCACTCACCCTGCTGCAGCAGAAGGCCCCGGTGGCTGCCTTCCTTCGTGGTCGCCCTTAGCGTCACGACCTGCGCACCTTAGCTTTGATGCGTGGCTAGTTCCTCGGCTTTGCCATTTAGCAGGCACCCAGTTAGACCTTGGATATGCAACTCATGTACGCACAATCATGTTGGTCAATCTCTACGTATTATCATTTTCCCTGCTAGTTTTCACTCCAACTCTCACATCTATGCAAAATACAAAATACGCCATTTTTAAACCCTCACCCCAACAACTACTCAACCCCACACCTGCCTCACCCACCTCACGCTCCTACCAACCTTCACCCCTCGCGCACAGGCCATGCCAGCCACCTCAGGCCCCTGCCAGCCCGGTGGAGTCGCGTCCCCTCGCACGCGTGTGCTTCAATCCAACCATCATGACCACACACCCTCACAATTGTTGCCTCACCGTGAACAGTCCAAACCAAGCCCCAACAATGAACGACCTAAGCAGTCGGCTAACCCCCCAAATCACTAACACCAATACCCCAACCCCGCTTGACACTCGCCTAACGCGCAGCCATGTCAAGCTCACTCTCACCATGAATCACCAGAGCGAGCATCCACGCCTGTTTATCACACACGCCCCCACCTGTACGCCCGACCGCCGTCAGCGGCCGCAACATCTCCTTACACCTGCCTTAAAATCCCCCCCTGTAATCGTGGCCTCCCCTCCCGCCAGAGGTTCTCACTCGGTCGACGCACCTACTGACCGAAATCAACCCTCGCATGGACACAGAAGAGGCGAGATGGCCTCGCCTAAGAGCCCCCCTCGTCCGCCTACCACCACGTTTGTTCCTGCTAACCCTCGTCCGCCTGCCCCACGTTACTTCGCTACTTGTTCTCATACGTCGTCATGGTTAACATACTCCACCTGTGAATACGCTAGCACCCCCGACCCCCGGTGTACTCTCCTTCTTGCCACTACCCAGGAACACAACTTTTACTGCTCTCATAAAGGCAGACTCATCCCACGCCTCACCTTGACGCACTCAAGCATTATTGACAACACGCCACCTATCAGCTTCGCTATTACTCAAAACTGGAGCCCTTCACTTCTCACTCTTAAGTTTAACACACACTTGCTCAAGCTTCACCTGTATGCGGCACCTCTACACCCTGGTTCTGTCGCCCAACATCTGCCTACCTTCTTGCCCGCCTCTGATGCTGTCCAAATCAATCCAGCATGCCAGCATACCCACCACCAACTTCGGTCCGCACTCGTTGACAGCTCGACTGTTACCCACAACCTCCACCAACTTCCTACCCCTTTGTATAAACACCCACGCCCGTGGATCCGCGCACACTCCTGTGCGGTGGGCTCCCACCTGGTAGAATGTTAACGCCCCTACGAGTCCGCTGCCTCAACATCAATGGTATCAATACGCCAGTTAAACGAAATGCTCTAAAGCGTTGGCTCTCCTCCTCACCGCACACAGATATTCTCATTTTAGTGGACACACGCCTTTCCAAAAACCTACCTAAACTGTCACTCCAACTCCGGCCACACTCTTCGGTACACGCGCCCACCCTCTACGCACTGAATTCAAACGGTCATCCATGTCCGCAACCCGGCGGCATCTCCATCTTATCTTTCAACAGAGCAATATCCCTCACCTCCCCGTCCCCCTCCGCCGATGGCCGCCTCCTATCCGTACATATCAACTTCCTGCGGGAGCAACTTCGCATCCTCGCTATCTATGCGCCGAGACCTGCCACTGACCGCCAGACCTGGTGGAGATCCATCCTAACTCTTGCACTGGAGCAACCCACCGCAGCTGCTGCCACAATCCTCGTCGGTGACTTCAACTCGGTAACCTCCCCCTTAGACCGTAACCGCCCGCTACTTGGTCACGAACTCAGCGAAGCCACCATGATGTCTAATCTCCTGCTATCGCACGCACTGTCCGACGTGTACCGCTCACTCCACCCTACCGCCCCCGTCTTTTCCTACTTTGGCCGCCGGGCCAGTGCTATCACTGCTCTCCCGCCCGCCTCCAGACTGGACCGAATCTACCTCTCCAGTTCATTCATCCCTCGGGTCTCTGAAACTTCCTACTTCTGGACCCCAACTGACGTGTCTGACCACTCCTTTGCACCCCTCTGCACCCTCACATTCGACAACCCAACCATGGCACCGCGACCTTGGCGTTTCAGCTCCTCTCTCCTCCACCGGCCCCAAGTCGCTACCATAATCGAATCTCACCTCCCCTCCCTGCCAGCACGCCCTTCCTCCGATGCATGGGACGCCTGGAAACTGGCCCTCACGCTTAGCCTCAAAAGTTTCTCGAACGAAGAGCGCAAAAGGGTTACAAGCACTACAAACCACCTAGTACAACTCATCAGCCACCTTCAGCTCCAATCTGCCCTCTCCCCTCTTGACCATGATGCAACCACACGGCTCCTCAAAGCCCGCACTCAACTAACAAAATACGAGGCATCCAAAACCGCCGAGCTCGCTCTAAAAGCAAAGCTCAAAGTCGAGGGTCATAGGGAGATGGGAACCTCCTCCTTGCTGGCAGGACTCAACTCCCGCATCAAAGACTCATTAATATCCTCGCTTATACTACCAGATGGACAAACCATCTCAGATCTACGAGCCATGACCGCTGAATGCACCAAATTCTTCCAGTCTCTCTACAGCGGAGCAACCCCGGGCGTGCCAAATCCTTCCTTCTGGGCTCATATCCCCCCCTCTTCACTCCCCCCCAGACTCCTCAACCATCTGCAAGCTCCCTTCTCCCTACTGGAAATTAGCAAGGCCTTAAACCAGCTCTCCCGTGGCAAAACCCCCGGCCCTGACGGCATCCCGGGCGAGCTCTTCCGACAATACAAGACCCGCTTCGCCCCCGCATTTCTCTCACTCTTCTCCTCACCGCACATCTCCGCTACCCTCCCGCCGTCAATGCTGTCAGGCCGCACAGTCCTTATCCCCAAGAGGGGTAGCTCCTCTATGATCGACAACCTCCGCCCTATCACCCTCATGAACTCGGACTACAAAGTGCTAGCCTTATGCCTTGCCAATCGGCTGCAACTCGCTCTTCCCCTAATTGTCCACCCCTCCCAAACCGCTTTCATTAAAAGCAGAAAAATTGGCGATACGATCAACGATACACTTGACATTTTCGACTGGAGCACAATCATGAATACCCCCCTACTCGCCTTAACGGTTGACTTCCGCAAGGCCTATGACCTGGTCGATCGAGCTTTCCTCTTCCAAGCGCTTGCCAGGGTGGGACTCCCCGAGCAGTTTATCGCCTGGGTTCGCCTCATGCACACTAACACCTCCACCTGCATCTCCGTTAACAACCTTGCTGGACCCACCTTCCCAGTCCGAACCGGGGTCCGACAAGGATGCCCCCTCGCCCCCCTCCTCTTTGTGTGTGTCATTGAAATCCTACAGCGCTACCTATCGCTCTTCCTCCCGGGTTTCCCCCCTCTCCGACGCAGCGCCGTCTCATGGCCTGCTACGCTGACGACGTCACCATCTTCCTCTCCTCTGTTAGAGAGCTTGGGACCACACTCATACACCTCCGGACCTTCGCCGCAGTCTCAGGAGAACACCCCAACTGGAACAAATGCTCAATAATTCCTTTTCACATCTCCCCGGAACAAATTATTCTGGCTGGCCCCATTCCCATTCGCACTCCTCAAGAGGCAGAACGCATTCTTGGCATCTACGTTGAACGTGCACAACCAGGCGCCACTACCTAGTCCACGACTCTCTCTCGCGTTCAATGCACGGCTAAGTTCCTCGCCGCCCTTCGTGCCACAGCCACCTGCCGCAAGTCACTTGCGTCGGTCTTCTTAAACTCTATCATCTCCTTCCCCGTCCGCTTCCAAACCCCCTCCCCCGACGTTATCAAACGCTTAGACGTCTTGGTCGGGAATTTTCTATCCTCTTCGCGTTTCAAAGAGCACGGCCTCGCGGTCCGTCTCATCCCTAATCGGCTCCTGTATAATTCCACCCGCCACGGAGGCCTTGGAGCGATTGCCCCCTCCACCCAAATCCGTGCTCTAGCTGCTCACCGCGCGCTCCGTCGCCTTGGCGCCTCACCATCAGAAGAGGTAGCCAGAGCCGCCGTCTGCCTCGCATTTGGCACACACTGTCTCCTCGCGCACCCTGCCATCCTTCAAGCAGGCATTCTGCCAACGATAATCCCAGGTCGAGCACTCGCTGAACTACACGCATTAATAGAGATCACTCCAAACATTGCCCCACCTCGCCTCGTCCCCATGTCTATAATGGGCGAGCCTACCGCCTTCAATCGTTTCATTCTCAAACCAAACGGGAAGCCCTTCGGAATCCTCACGCGTGAACACTTCCTTCTATCGAAGCAGGTCCGTGTCGGCCATTTGATCTCTCTTATCTTTCACTCGCTTTGTGTGGTCTCCTTCAAACACTTCACCTCATTGTTTCCCATAGCCAACTCCTCCTCTGGACGAAGAGTCTGGCGCGAACTCATCCGCGCCATCCCCAAACCCTGGTGGTCAACCCTTCGCTCCCCCCCTCCCCCCTCAGCAGTCCCTGGGGAGTGGTTCGTCCCTAAAGATGACTCCGAGACCTCTCCCACTATTGCTTTCCAGGTCACGGCCTTCTCTCCTCCGTCGTCTCTCTCAGTCTCCCTTTATCGTGTCTTGCCCAACCGACTCATCGTCCGACCGTCGATCGGAGATAGCACCTTCGACATAGGTGCCCTCTCTGCGGTACACGTTGTCGGGTCCTGGCTTGCAGGCCCCTTCCATACAGGTGCAGGGCTCGGCGCGCGGCTCGACATCCTCCGGGACGGCTGCCCAAACGTAGCTGACATCCGTCGCCGGCTCTATGCTCGACTTCCCCTCGACCACGCCGCCCGCTGGACCCACGTCCTCCCCGCTCCTCCTCCCCTCCTCCCCGACCTCTCCCATGACTTTTTACGGGAGCAACCCAGCCTCCAACGCGACGTCTTGTACCGGTTCTACACTCGCGCTCTCCCTTCGGGTTCACGCTTCAACTTCGCCGCAGACCGTGGGATTTGTTCACTTTGCCTCGCCGCTCCCACGGAGACCATATCCCACATTTTCTACGAGTGCGGGGTGGCCCCCGCGGTGATTTCCGCCCTCTCCTCCGTCGCTCGTCGTCACCTCCACTGCTCTCCTCCTCCTGAGCTCCTGCTCTTCCCGCTCGCCTCCAGAGCTGGCCAGGTGGCCCCTTGGAGCCTTCTGGTTGGGGCATCTACAAAAGCTATTTGGAACGCACGCTGTGAACACAAGTTCCAAGATTCGCCCCCCTCCCGGTTTGAAGTCCTCCGGCTCATACTGGCAAAGTTCCTCATTGCTTTCAAAATTTTCTTATGGCGCAGGAAGAAACAATCAGTGAAAAAACAACAACGCTCAGCCGCTCGTATTAAGCTGGCCACTCGACTTCGACTGCTTCCTCGTCTTCGACCACAACGGAACCCCTTCTATCCACCCAGACCTCCGCTCTTCCTGGCTGCTTGGGGACCCTTTCCGCCCCCCCTAGCCCTCCCACCCTTTGTTGAGCATAGAAGAGCTCCCCAGCTGAGCTGGTGGCTATCCTTGGATAGGGGAATAACGTGTTTTTCCTACGTACGCCTCTGGGCTGTTGGTTTGTGTAGACCATATTTCTAGCTACTCTATGCTTTGCTGTACACGGTTACGACCTAATATAACCTTAACCTCCACACGTTCAGAAGTGATGGGGGTGATGTTGCTTCGCTTCCCTAGCATGAGGTGCTTCTTCATTTCCCCAGCCGGTGTTTCTCCATTCGCCGATGACCAGTCTTCCCTTCGGAGAGACCAATGCTTTACCTTAAAAAGCCCGTCGAAAGCCCGTTCTATTGCAGCCTTTCAGCAGCCCGTTCGTTCCTCCTTAGCTTCCACACGCCGTGTAGTTCGAGAACGACTACGACGAGGAGGACGCGGATACCGGACACCTAAGATTCGCATCCGTATTGCGACGCCATGGTCGCACAAGCATACCTTCATGATGGTCTGGAGAGGCACAGGCAATATAGCAAGCATCGACGTTGGATGCAAATTCGGAGAATCTTCGAAACAAGCGAACCATCGATGTCTACGATGGTTCACCATATCGACGCACAGCCTGCAGCAGTGAAAAGCCCGATCTTACCCTACCTCACGATATTTGACTGTTACTCCAGACTATTTCGCATTCCACGTCGACCCACACTCCCATCACTCGATTCTAATGCCGCAGAGATATTATTGAGTCTGGTTCCGATGCTTTAGGGCCATTATTGAAGCGTGAAATTCTGTAGGACGGATTCCGACAGAATCGCCCATATTGTTTTCAAATTAAGCTGGCGAGATTTTTCGCTTCATCATGGCCGTCAATCCCAATCACCAGCACCACCATCTCGCCGCCTCTCGCCTCCATCACGGTCGCCGCGTCTCCCCGTTCTCCCAGGCATTCCTCCTCTCCTTCCTCGCAGCTTCCTCGGTCGTTGCATTCGCGGTTCTGCTCACGGCGTGCGCGTCGCTGCGTACCCTCTGGTCCGTCTCGTTACAAACATTCCCGTTAGAATCATCTGAATCGGATCCGTTGGGGAGGGTGTACAGTGGCGAGTCGCTGGCGTTGAGGGACGCTGTTGCCAGCTGGCAGTCGCGAGTGGTGTATCATGTGAGTGGTGTTACTGTGTTACCATATGAGTCGTGTCACCCACAGCCTGCTGCTATCACCGAAACCCCCACTCTCTCCCACATCCTCCACTGACCAGTTCCTTGTGACCAAATCTGTATCTCTTCCTCGTCCCCAACCTCCAAAACCTCTCGGTATTCTGGAACGTTTGGGTCTCAATCACAATGCCACTCCCTGTTACCATCAATCACCCCCCTTCCCCCTCTCCCTCCTCCTCTTCTAACTTCTCTCCCCCTCTCTCCCCCCTTTTCCCGTTCTCCTTCACGTTTCATCCCTCTCCCCCCCTCTCCCTCCCCCCCCATCTCGACCTCTCTCTCTCCTTCTTGCACTCGCGGTTCCCCTCTCGCCCTTCACCTTCCTTATCTCCTCCCACCCACCAGGCATTTGTCGACAGATTCGATCCTCCCAAGCCCACAGCACCTCTCGCGGCTACATGGATAATCCCCTCTCCTCTCCCCCTCGCTCTCCCCTCTCTTCCCTCTCTCCTCTCCCCCCACCCACCAGGTATTCGTCGACAGATTCGCTCCTTCCAAGCCCATTCTATCCCAATCCCAGTGCGCGACGCTCTCTGATTATTGCGGTAATACCAAACCCCCAGTTCACCTGTTTCTTTTGGGTTCGCGCGAATCTTATGTCTCTATTTCTCTCTCCAGCAATAACCGCAACCACGTTTACAAAGTCAAGCATCATGCGCAGCTGTCTAGCAACTGGCGGAAGGGATTTATAGAGCAGCTATGTTGGAATCACTTTTGAGAATTCTCAAAAGTAACCGCCACCGCGTTTTCAAAGCAAGCATCACGCGCATGATGTCTAGATACTGGCGGACGTGTCACGTATGTACCCAATTATTACGTAAGACAGTTACACACTTGCTCTGTTGTCCAACCGCGCTTTGCCCCGTGGGTGCAGGAGGAACGTTCACGGGGATGAGGCAGCACTTGCCATGTGAGTGAATAGTATCTTAGTCTACATGTTTTGCCCAATGGGTGTAGATGCCAAGAAGTCAAGCCCTGGTGCCTGTTAGTCTGGATGCTCACAGGCAATCTAGTGCCTGCCAACAGGTGTAGACTGGTTGAGCTGAGTGCTATGTCTACTTTTGAGGCGCCTCAAAAGTGGCCCAGATGCTCACAGGCAATATAGTGCCTGCCAACAGGTGTAGACTGGCTGAGCTGAATGTAATTCTCCCCCTTATTATTCTCCCCTTCTCCCTTCTCCCATTCTGGTCATCCCCCCCCCCTTGTCCCAACACGCCTCTGCTAACCAGACATCCGAGGCATGGGCTTTGACGCCTTGCTGATCGGCCCCGTAACAGTCAACAGCCCCTACGGTTACCACGGCTACTGGCCTCGCGGCTTCACCATGCCTCCTGGTGCAGGGGGAGAAGGGGACGAAGGAAATTATCAGGTAATAATCATAGTAGGTTACAAGTTGATCGTATTTTGGTTGACTTAAAACACCCCTGATCGTTGAAGCGAAACTTTGTCCTCTGTTTTTCTCTCTCTTCGATCTATTTCCCTGTTTACAGGGAGCTGACAGCTCACAGGCTACTTCTTCCCCTTCTGCAGGGTGTTTTTGAGAAGTCTCAAAAACACAAAGAGCTCACAGGTCACAGGCTTCTTCTTCCCCTTCTCCCTTTCTCGTTCCCCTAGACGTTGCTGGGTATTTTTTGACATCTCTCAAAAGTATCCCCTTCTCCCATTCTCCCTCTGCTTCTTTTCTTGCTCCGCCAGACGGCCATCAACCCCCATCTCGGAACTTCCGAGGAGCTTAAAGCCCTGGTGGATGCGGCGCATGCCATGGGCTTCCTGGTCATGGTCGATGGTGGGTTGATGGCCTGGCATGGCATAACATGGGATGGGACGGCATGGCTCGCATGGCATGGCATGGCATGGGATGGGACGGCATGGCATGGAGTTGCTATTCTCGCCACATTGTTCTACTGCTCTCTCCCACACAGCCCAATGCTCCTTATTTCTCCTTGCCTCGTCCCCTCGTCCCCTCTTCCCCCCTTCCCCCCTTCCCCCCTTCCCCCCTTCCCCTCTTCCCCTCTTCCCCCATTCCCCCTTCCCGTCTTCCCCTCTTCCACACTTCCTCTCCTCTCGTCCTTTCCCATCCACCACGCCACCCACCAGTGGTACTCAATCACGTGGGCTGCCCTCAGGGTGGGGGACCGTGTGACACGTGGCAGGAGGGGATTCGCCCGCCTCCATGGCTCAACAACAGCTATGCTCCCTTCAACAAGGTGAGACAGGAGTGGGTGGATTGACAGGATGTGTCTGCTCTGTTCTCTCATCCCTCCCTCCCACTTTTCCCATTCGTCCGTCACTCTCACGTTCCCCATCCCGTTGTCCCCCCCTCACTCGCTCATTCCCCACGCCCTAGTTTCATTTCCCCCTTTCACTCCCTATCATCGCTGACAAACGCCAGAGCGCCGCCTTCCACCCGCCCTGCGAGGTGGATTTCAGCCAATACGATGCCGACAACTGGCAGCGCTGCTGGCTTGCCAGCCTGCCAGACTTCAACCAATCGAATCCCACCGTTGCCGCAGCACTCGTGAGGTCCACGGGTGAGTGAGTGAGTGAGTGAGTGAGTGGGTGAGTGAGTGAGTGAGTGATTGAGTGAGTGAGTGAGTGAGTGAGTGAGTGAGTAACAGTGGATCGCGTAGACACACAGTGTGGCAGTGTCTCATGGTATCCCCTTGCACGCAGCTCAATACCTACTTGCATGCCCATGCTCATGTCATCTGACACATGTGGATGAACACTCTACTCTACCACTCGTTAACACTTATCTCCTCCTTTCCCCCTTCCTTCTCTCCCTGCTCCCCTCCAGCCTATCTCGTGCACACATTCTCATTCGATGCCATACGAGTCGATGCTGCACACCACATGCCGCCCGAGTTCGTCCGCTCTCTCGCCTCCCACCTCGGAGTGCCAGCCTTTGCAGAGCTCTCCATCCCCTCGCTGCCGCTCCCGCACCGCCTGCTGGCAGGGAGAGCATACACAGTGAGTATGTGTGTGCGAGTTTTGAGACGTCTCAAAAGAGCGTACACAGTCAGTATGTGTGTGGGCCCAGGGGAGTTGTCTTTCTTGATGCACCTCGAAGATTGTGACAATGAGGGCGGCTACAGTGACTATGCGTGTGCTTTTGAGGCGCCTCAAAAGGGGAGATTTCTTTCTCGATGCGCCTCAGAAATTGTGACAATGAGGCCAAATACTACTGTATGCATGCGTGTGGCCTACAGTTTGCAGCCGAGAAGAGTTGTCCTTCTCTGTGCACAAGGACGGCACTTTTGAGATTTCCAAACAAAAAATTACTCCCAACACAGCCGAGCTACTGCAGATGCTTCTTCCAACCCAACATCCTCCTCCCTGTTTCCCTCCCTGCTTGCAGAACCACGCTACAGCCGAGCTACAGCAGGCACTACAGCTGGCTATGGTGAGGGCTTTCACAGGCGGCAACACAGGCAGTGATGGGTTCACCCACAGCCCTGCTGCTGGCTACACTGTCCCTGCTGCTCCTGCTGCCTCCTCTGCCCCAGCCTTCCCTGCCTTCCCAACTGCTGCCTCTTCTGCTGCTGCTATTGCTGGTGCTGCTTCTGCTGCTGCCGCTTCTGTTACCCCTGCCGCCCCTGCCGCCCCTGCTGCTGCTGTGAGGACGGCATCTGCGGAAGCAGCATCCATGGTTGAGCTTGCGAGGGCCATGACTGCAGTGTTTGAGGGCGCTGGGAACCCAGACTTTCAAGGAAGCTTCCTCGACAACCATGACTCGCCCCGCCTGCTGGGCTTGCTGCACGGAGGTGAGGTGACGGGTGTGGTTTGTGGGGCTGAGCTGAGATGGTTGAACCAACGAATCTATATGCAAACCACTAAACGTCTACTAATGTGTGGTTAGCCGCGGGAATTGTATCCATGCTGCAGTGCAGTCACACATTAGCAGTCACACATCCATGCTACTAATGCTGCAGTGCAGTGGACGCGAGGCATTTCGGGCGTCCACAGTTACTAGAGAATGGATGGAACCATATGGGATGGGTGAGAACTGTTGCATGTTGGAGTCACTTTTGAGAATTCTCAAAAGTGACCTCAACATACGTGCACCTCTCATACGGATGGGTGAGAACCGTTGCTGGTTGGCCTCTGCTTCAGAAGCAATCCAATTTTATATCTCCCTCTCCTGCTCTTTTTTTTGTGAATTGCAGAGTAAGTACAAGCTAGCTCTGCCTCCCCAACCCTCGCCTTCGTTCCTTCCCTACCTTTCACACTCCCGTCCCTCGCTTCCTCCTTTCCCACCATCCCCGTCCTTCCCTTTCCCACCATCCCCGTCCTTCCCTTTCCCACCATCCCCGTCCTTCCCTTTCCAACCATCCCCATCCTTCCCTTTCCCACCATCCCCATCCTTCCCTTTCCCACCATCCCCATCCTGCCCTTTCCCACCATCCCCATCCTTCCCTTTCTCACCATCCCCGTCCTTCCCTTTCCCACCATCCCCATCCTTCCCTTTCCCACCATCCCCATCCTTCCCTTTCCCAGCATCCCTTGCCTCTCTCCCTGTCACGCCAGCCGCTGCCCACATTATATGAGTCGACTCAAAGATGCCGTTCCCTTCCTTTTCTTCCCCACACCCCCCTTCTTCCCTCGCACCAGCTCAGACCAGCTGTTGCTGCACAATGCGCTCGTGCTGCTGCTCACCTCAAGAGGCATCCCGCTCGTCTACTCAGGCACCGAGCAGGTCGGCATTGGTTGGATGGTTGGTGGGCGGGCAGGCGGGCGGGTGGGTGGGTGGGTGGGTGGGTGAGTGTTGCTGCTTCATGGTGCTCGTTTCCCTTCCCTCCATTCCTCTCCTTCAGGCCTTCAAGGGAGGGAGGGTCCGACCCTCAGAACCGGGAGTCCCTCTGGCCCTTTCTCAACACTTGCACCCCTCTGTACTGCTTTCCCACTCACTGTAATCTTTTGGTTGTGCTCGTCTCCGTTCTCTCCTTCCCCATCAGGCCTTTATGGGAGGGCCCGACCCGCAGAACCGCGAGTCCCTCTGGCCCTTCCTCAACACACACCACCCTCTCTACGGCTTCCTGGCTGCTGTCATCCGATTCCGACAAAAGGTAACTCCAAGGTGCTTTTCCAACACGCAAGAGGTGCCATTTGCCTCCAAAAAATATATATATAGATACATATATATTTATTTATTTATATACATATATAAAACTGAGGCATTTAAAACCTCTCTTGAGGGGCCTCAAACGCCTTTTCAAAACGTGTCATTTGCATCAGGAAAGAATCAAATTCAACACATACTTGATTCTTTCACTACCCTCTCTACAGCTTCGTCACTCCCTTACTCTTCCTCTTCCAGAAGTTGCTGGTTATCCTCCCTCCTCTCCCTTCCGCCCTCTTCACTCACCATGAAGCTTCCCTCTTGCCTCACTTTTGCAGCTTAATAAAAAACAGCAACCTGTGCCTGCCATGTCATCTGATATCCCTGTCCCTTTGTCGTGTCTGCATCCATGCAGGTGGCCCTGTGGCAGTACAAGCAACAGCACGTTCGATTCGTCTCCACCCACTTGCTGGTGTTCCAACGAGGGCCAGGAGTTGTTGCGGTTACCAACAGCCCTGCTGATGCTGAAGTGTTAAACACTGTGCATGTAACGGGTTTGAATTACAAAGATGGCACAATTCTTTGCAATCAGTGAGTAGAAGCAAACGTTGCTGGTTTTGCTTCCTTTTTTCACCGTTCGTCTTTTTCTTCTCTTTTCGTTGTCGACTTTCTTTTCCTTGCTTTTCTTTCGCTTGTGTTTTCATGCTTTTGTGGTGTTTGACTAATTTGCTTCGTGTTTCTATTTCTTACGTACCAGGTTGGCTGATAATGATTGCATTCGTGTGGTCAACAAGGGAGGGTATATGCATTTCTTTGATAGGCATCCTAAGCTATATTACCCCCTCTAGATAAGTGTTCAGTACAGCGAGTGAATTTAATGGGGACGCGTTACTAATTGCTGCTTGCTACCATGTTTTAACGGTATCTTGATGGTGTGCATGTCTGCAATGTCCCTAATAGTCAATCTATGCCTTACAAATTTGATCTGCCAAATAGTTGGTCATTGAGACTGCTTGGTGGTGCATGAGCTAGTTTGTGCAATCATGTCTAATTTCTTGAAGTATAACCCTGTAAGGCAATCGCCCTCACATTTTACGTTTTCACAGCGAGATTTTCTTTGACGAGCCATTCATATGTCAGCGTGACGTTGCGCAGCTGTTGCGTTCGCCTTTCCTCCTGACGTCATCCTCCCCTGCACCATTGCCTCCTCACTCCGCCTCGTCGCCCCGCCCCGGCCCGCTGCGCCTCGCCACGCCGCCATCACAAATGCAACACGCAAGCTCGCTCCTTCCCTCCTGCCCTGCCTTTCTAGCATGCATGCATAAATACGTGTACGTCTCGCTTCGCTTCTTGCGTTGGATAGACTCACGCGCGGGTTCCCCCTTTCTCAGCTCGTTTTGCTTGCGGCTGCTGCTCGCCTGTTCATTTACTCAAGGCCCGTTGTGCAACTCTCGAGAATTCTACACACCTCTGAGTCGACTTGTTTCAGCTTCCAAGTGTTCCCCTAAGCCGTTCGCAGTCCTTTATGTGACGTACAGTCGACACTGTTGACGAGGTATCAGGCTTGCTTTTTTGTTATGCGATCTTTCGCCGCCTCCTGTGCGATTCGCAGCATTCGTCGCCTGCCGTGGAACACGTTGACCGTCGCACAGCCGAATAGGGTCGCACGGTCGCTTCAAGTCGCACAGCCGCGAAAGGTCGCACAACCATTTGGAGTATCGACAACCGGTTTGGACACGTTACATCCTCTTCGCGAGGCTTTCGCGAACCCCTGCGCGAATTGGCGACTGTCGCCGGCACGCGTGAGTTGCATCGTCATGGCTTCGGCTGGCGACGCCTTCTGCGATCCCTGCGACATAAAGTCCTTATCGCCCGCGACGACGGGCGCCGCCAACAATGCCGCTCACCCTGCCGCCAAAATCCTCTCCCACGTTTCGCAAGCGGCCGAATCCACGTTCGACAACCCGGCGAAACCAGCTGTTAGTAGTAACCCGACCAGCGAGACGGAACACGGAGACGGGAACGCGGCGAAGGTTCCAGGAAAGAAGCCTGTCGGGCGAATGGATAGCAGCGACCCGTTGGCACTACTGAAGGCGCTCGCCCCCATGCAGGTACGGCGCTCGCCCCCATGCAGGTACGGCGCTCGCCCCCATGCAGGTACGGCGCTCCCCCCCATGCAGGTACGGCGCTCCCGCCCATGCAGGTACGGCGCTCCCCCCCATGCAGGTACCTCTAAAGTTGAGTTATGCCGCATTGCAGGTACTAAACGTGGCGCGTCCTACCTCGCCCCTGCTCGTGCTGCTGCTTGCTCTTCCTGCGCGCCTCAACCGTCCTGCGCGCCTCAACCGCCCTGCGCGCCTCAACCGCCCTGCGCGCCTCAACCGCCCTGCGCGCCTCAACCGCCCTGCGCGCCTCAACCGCCCTGCGCGCCTCAACCGCCCTGTGCGCGCCTCAACCGTCCTGCCATCGTCAGAGTTACTGACTCGTTAAAAGACGCACTGGTCATAGTTAAAAGCAGAAGACGCACTCCCTCCCTCCGCTCCTCACCTCCATTTCAGGTGCTCCTGGGAGCGGGCATGCTCACGGCGCTTGTTCTCCCGCGCCCTAGTCCTTCGCTCTCACTGCAGTTCTCATCCCCTTCCCCTCTGTGTGCGTGCGTGCGTCTCTCTCTCTCTCTCTCTCTCTCTCTCTCTCTCTCTCTCTCTCTCTCTCTCTCTCTCTCTCTCTCTCTCTCTCTCTCTCTCTCTCTCTCTCTCTCTCTCTCTCTCACTCTCTCCGCAGGTTCTCATTGGAGCGGGTATGCTCACGGCGCTCCTTCTCCCCCGCCCCCTCGCCCTCGCGCTCACTGCGGCCGCCCTCCTGCCGCCCATTCTGCGCACCACGCTGCACAGCTGGCGCTGGAGCCACGCCAGGAAGGGCGGTTCCGGGGGAGGCGCATCTGGGGGGAAGGGGGAGAGGGGAAAGAATGGGGAAGGAAAGGCGGAGGGGAAGGGGGAAGTGATGAAGGGGGAGGTCGGAGCTGAAAGGGAGGGGCTTCTGGGGGAGGTGTTATTTGAGGCAGATAAGACAATGGCGAATGGCAAGGGGAGCGCAGTCGGTGGGCGGCACAATGCGGCAGCTTCCGGAAACTTGCTTTCTGTGAACGGGATGGATATCTTCCAGGGCCGGATGGCTGGCAAGATGGACGGCGACTTTTGTCTGTTTCTGATCGGAGCGAGGGCCAACAACCCCTTCCCCCTGAGTCCCGCGTTTGCTTCGGTTGGGGAGGTCTTTGGGCAAGCTGTGAGGTGAGCTTGAGTTTTGAGACGACTCAAAACTGATCGGAGCCAGGGCCAACAACCCCTTCCCACTGGGTTTTCCACTTGGTCCCGCGTTTGCTTCGGTTGGGGAGGTCTTCAACCTAGCTGTGAGGTGAGCCGTGTGGTTGGTCTGAAGGGAAGCGAAAAGTTTCTGGAGCTGGAGCTGGAGCTGGGACTGGTTCCTGGGTGGGGGGAGAGGAGACTACTATGTGGGCGCGGACATGACACGTGGCAACCTTCCCTTGGCAGGGAGCTGGAGCAGAAGAGTGACAAGTTCGGGTACCTGGGGGGAAAGACTACTATGTGGGCATTGACACGACACTCGGTGCTCATACTTGATACTTGATAGTGTGCCTCTCATTCCCCCCGGCAACCTTCCCTTGGCAGGGAGCTGGAGCAGGAGAGTGAGAGGTTCGGGTTCCGGGGGGGAGACCACTATGTGGGCCACATAGGGGACACGACACTTGGCACATATAACTACGTGGGCACGTACACGACACGTGGTGCTCGTACTTTGATAGTGGTTCCATCCACGTGTCCCTCCATCACCTTGCACATGTCTTAACAGGGAGCTGGAGCAGGAGAGTGAGAGGTTTGGGTTCCTGGGAGGAGACCACTACGTGGGCACGGACATGACACGTGGCTCGCAGACGATTGCTGTTATGTACTGGCGCTCCTACGATGACCTTGTTAATTATGCCAACGACCAGACCCTCGTGCACGGCTCGGGTACGTGCAAGGGGCATGGCTCAAGTATGTGGTGAGACAGGCTTGGGTTAGGTGATTCTGATGCATGTGTCAGATGACTTAGCGGATTGGGCCATGTATTTGCATCTGCGCCTTTTTATGATCTGCCTGTTCCAGCCCCTTTCCTCTCTAACAGCCACTTCACGTCCTGCATTCCAAAAGTTTGTCTGGTCTTAGCCTTTTCAATTATCCCCCTGATTTTCCATATGCACCGTACTGTCTCTCTCCTTACAAGCAGCATGGAAGAGAATGACTCAGCTACTGAGGGACGGCCCTGGCGTTGGCGTATGGCACGAGTCCTACGCAATTAGCGCTGGGCAGTACGAATCGATTTATGTCAACTGCCCAGCATTTGGGCTCGGAGCGGCAGGGAAACTTGTGCCAGCCTTTGGACCCTTGGCCACGTCTAGGGGGAGAATGAGAGAGGGAGGTGGGATGAAAAAGGAAGGGGGAGAAGAGGAAGCAGAAAAGTTACCAGAAGACAAAAAAGTGGGCGGTGGCAAATGTCCAATGGGATTTTGATCTTGTTCCTGCTTTTGTTGTCGGGTAGAGCTGTTCAGAATAATGTATAATATATTGCACTATTACATCAGTGGCTACAATTGAACTACACCACTACCAAGCTAAGCTAGTAACGGACGGAACGAACAACCCCAATAAATCCCGTCAGTCAGCTGTGTGTGAATCCGCTTGTATGTGTCCAGGGCTGTGCGAAGCAGGGTGCTGCGTATGTTTCTGTGCTTTTCTGCCACATCTTTCCCCCACTTCACCTTCGCCTTCCGTCTCTCCTCCTTTCGTCTTGCCTTCCCCCTCCCCGCAATGCGTATGTTGTTTCTGCGTGTCGCTGCCTTGTTGTACACGCATATTTTAGGTTTTGGGCTCAGACCTTGGGTGTTTCACAACCCATGAAGCTCCATCAATTGTGGCCCGCAAATTCTCGCTCTCTCGCCTTGTCGCAAATTCGCGTGATTCCTCCTGGCGTACTCCGCTCCGCTGCACCGTAGAAGTCGCATGCAGCCCCGGCCCCAGTCGTAATCCCCAGCCCCCAGACCTTACCCCTTTTTATTCCCCACCCGCCGACCTCCCCCTCCCCACCTCTTCCTCCCTCCGTCCTCAGATAAGCTTGCGGTACATTTTCTCTCCTCCTCTCCTCCCTGCCTCTCTCCAGTCTTATTACGCCTAATTGTACCAACTATTGAAGGATCCAGCCAAGTTAGGCTTCTTGTTGGTCGGACTGAGACCAGTAGACGCAGCACCCGCCACGCCGCTACCTCCTCCCGAGCCGCCTGCGACGTCATCCCGAAGCTTTTGCCACAACTCGTCCCCCACCACGCAGTGTGTAGATTCAGTGAATGTGAACGTTTCAAACGGGACCCCCGCTGCTTGCCGGTTTTTCTGCACGCTGTTTAACGAGTTTTTTATGTTGTTGGAGAAGTACTGTAGCTGGCTGATCTGCTGCGGGGTGCACTTTTTGAGGTGGGAACCGAGGCAGCGCACAAGCGGGTTGGCTTTCCCCTTGGCCTTTGGCGACATGGCGATGGCGACGGCCTTGTAGTCCACCAGCGAATTCACGACGAACATTGGCGATTTGACGAACTTGAGATTGTATTCGGGGAAGAAACACTTCCACGTGGAATCACTTGGCTCCATAGCTGCGATGAGAAGAGGTGAGGACAGGCAGCAAAAACAAGGCGGGAAGGCGAAAAAGAGAGGTTAGATTTCACTGATCGTGAGAGTGAGAGAGGGAGGGGATGCGGAAGTGTACGCGATTCGCGTGTACTTTCAGGAAAACGCTTCTTGATATGCGGCGGATCGAGGGGATCACGGTTTTCCACCTGTTGTAAAATTCCAACAGTCACCACCAGACGGCCAGCCACGTTATGGTAACATTCATTACACTCACCATCCTTGCAGTCGCCGTTGATCCCAATGCGGTCGATGTCATGCAGTGTTGCCAGCCGCTGCACCTTCTCCCGCAGCGACCTCTCGCCGTTCACATCCACCACGTCTGCGGGGAGCAGCGGAAAAAAAGGGGAAATTCGAGAACCAAAACATAACAACAGATCAACGGGGAGAGAAGGTAAGCCAGCGCAACTGGGAAAAAACTGTACACGGAGCATTACCTCTCAAATAACTTCTCTTGTAAAACCAGGAGAATTTGCCCCTGAAAAGCGGTCCTCGAAACAGCCAACCTCAAAAGCGGCCTTACCTGGGAAGAACCCTCCATCCATGAAGCACTTGGTTTTAACGCCGTAATCCTTGAGCCACGTGGCGATCTGGTCGCACTTGATCGACACCGCCACCGCGCCCGCGCTGCAGCCTCCCACCAGCACCTCCTCCCCGTGGTTCAGGTTCTGATAGTCCAGCAGATCTGTCGAGGGGAATGATTGGGAGAGCAAAAGGGGAAGAGATGAGAGTCGTTGGGTCTCAAGCCGCTGCGACCCCTCCCAGCACCTTCTCTTCGTGGTTCAGGTTTTAATAGTCCAGCAGATCTGTCGAGGGGGGAAAGACGGGGAGGGCGGAGGGCCGCAGAGGTGGAAGAGGTGTGGAAGAGGGAGGTGATGTGGCTTGGATCCACCGTATTGCAGTTCAGATCTAAAACAAAAGAGCCTTTTATCCGTTCAGAAGTTCAGGTTTCCATTCAGAAACTTACCTTGAAGCACGCCGTTCAAGTTCCAGTGTCCCCGGTAGTAAAGCGTCTTGCCGGTCTCCTCCGTCTTGTTCTTCTTGCCCGATCCACCGGTGAAAGAGCTGCCGTCGCAGTACTTGACGAGCACCACATTCCAGTTGTAGAACTGGGGGTTAATCCCCGCATCCGGACTCGCGACCCCACCGAAATGCACGTCCTGCGGTGTTGAATGGGGTGCGGAGAGGCGGGCAAGTCTTCTCAGGAGGGAGATGAGAGTCGCGTTGCTCTCTTTCGAAAATAAGCGTGTACCTTTTGCGAGTCCCAGCACCAGCGTGTGTTTGAAGCGCACACTGACATCCGAGATTCGAGACTCAAGCCTGCAGCTTATTATATAACTCACGCTGACGGATGGCCAGTTGACGGAGCTCCCGAGGTCGGTCTTCGCGCGGTTGGCGCATTGCTTTGGACTGAAGCACCACCCACCGCCCTGGGGAGAAAAAAACAGGATCGCGGGAAATGGGGAGGAAAGCATTGGGGGCAGACGCAGTTGGAAGGGTGAGTGTCCTGAAGTGTGATCTCATCGAATGCGGCCGCAGTGGCAAAACACCTAGAAATAAATATATGCTGGAATCATATGAAGCTCTGCGAATCCGCATTATCCAATACCTTATCTGAAGGCCTGAATGAACGGCTCGTTTCAAAGCTCACCTCCAGAAAGAGGATCCACTTATTGGCACCCGTGCCGTAACCCTCGCGAAGGTAGTAACCGGGCATGCTGCGAAAACAGTGATGAGGAGCACAGGCGATAATTGATCGTGGAAGAATATAAGGTAGAATAGACAGCACCCGGAAATTGAGACGCATTTTAAGTGATTAGATATGAAACTTAAGAAGGAGAGTTGTTTATAAGGGCAATCTTCCATTCTCACCTCCCGTCCAGGCATCGACCTCGCGTCTGCTCCTTCGACAGCATGTGAAGCCGCGCGACGCGGCCGCCGGAATTCACAGCGCTTGCTCCTGGCTTGGGACTCGACCCGCCATTACCGTTCCCATTCAAGTCGCCGCGCGACTTGAAGTCTGCTAGTGCGGAAGCAAGCAGGTTGCGTGGGCGCGCGGGATTCACGGAAGCGGAAGCGAGAGCTACAGAGAGCGCGACAAGCGCGAGTAGGAGGGTGAGGCTTAGAAGCGAGGTCTGGAGGATTTGTCCAATACGGTGGTGACTTCGTGCCATTTTCTCTGAGTCAGGCGCTATGATCTAGCTCCTGGCGGGATAAGTCATACAAACTAGACGTGTTGCTGGTTGTTTGATCGCGCTAGAGGGTCTAATTGGAAAAGTACTAGGCTTGTACTGATAGAACCGCGGGCCGGAATCACGAAGGTCTGAATGAACACAGTGATCCTTCAAGATGACCTATTTCTCCGCGTCTTTCTTTCTCCAACGGATAGACAATGCTCTCTGAATCGCTACTTCGCTCTTGAAGCTCGGATGGTCCAGATCCTTTAACAAGTTGCTCGCTGGTTTTCCACGATCAAAGACAAAGCCAAGAATCTCCAGACACTATTCAGCAGGGTGTTCTCAGCGCAGTCGATTTTTCTGTCGGGTGTCGAATCGCAGTCGCCACGCGCATGCCCAGGCAAGCCGTTAGGATAACACGATGCACACATCTGGGGCAATGCTGAACTTGCACTCGAAGAGACTGCACTTCACCTGGACCAAGCCCAGGCCCAGAAGCGAATTCGTGGCCCAGAAGTGAATCGGTGTGTGGTGTGGGGGGAGGTCGAAAATTGAATTTCCAACATTCCACATTTTGCCTCTTGCTGATGGAAAATTCGTGTCGCCCATGCGCGTCGCGTCTCATGGGAATGAGCGGGAGAGGTGGTGGAATCGCGTACCGCCAAGCATGCGTTTGCTCACTCGCTAGTCGTTTTAATCCGTTCAGCAGTCTGTTGAGCAAGTCCACTGCATGACCAGTTTTTATGTTTTGTTATGAACAAATACATGAAGAATGTAAGAGAACATACGGCATGACCAGTGTTATGTATATCGACAATAGGCAGCTAAATGGGATGTGGAAGCTTTAATGAGTGCACTGGCCGACAATATGGAGCACTAGTATGGTACTGTACACTGTATCAATCACAAGACTTGTTATGAATGCTGTGGGCCTGGCTCACCTCGTTTCCAGGCCTACTAGATTTATATGGCATAATGTTGCGCTGTTTGACTCACCTTTGGTTTAAATCATGCTTGGTTGGGTTGAGTTGGGTGCTTTGAGAACCGTACATGGCTAAATGGGCATGAGGTAAGAAGACACATCACATGGATGGACAAAGAACCAATACTACATGCATGAATTGCTCACAGAATCTTCTGCTTTATTGAGCTATAGGCCACAATGCTCCTCAAAACATTGGGAGGCCACATGATGCAAATCATAAGATGTGTCATGTCATGTCACAATAATCATTGTACACCAGCTAGCTTGCTTAGCCGCTGGTAGGCGAGCTCCTTGAGCCGTTTTCGGTCAAATGGGACATATGCACAAATAGACTCGTCCAACCTGCATGCACGAGGAACAAGACCGGAACACCGCACATAATGATGTGATAAAATACCACTAGTAACACAAGGAGCATAAGCAGCGATGGAAGAGAAAGAGGAGGTGTCACAGAGAGCAGAAGATGCGGGATGAGGTAAAGGAAGGGGGAGGGGCGGGGGGGGGGCAGGGGCAGGGGCAAGGAACGGGGGTGGGGGCAAGCGACAGGGTCAGGGGCAGGGGCAGGGGCAGGGCCAGGGGGAGGCCAAAACATAAAAGATGAAGGTGCTGCAGAGGGACTTACACAGGCAGTGCGGCCGGGCAGAGACCCCATGAACTGATACAGCCCCGAGATGTTGCATGTGATGTTCTTCACTTCTTTAGCCTCATCTCCTTGAGCTGTCGCTCGAATGGAGAGAGCGTAGATAAGTTGGAAGTGTAGAAAAGGGACTTACACGAGGGCAGTGAGGTCGGGCAGCGACTCCATGAACTGGTACAGCTCTGAGATGTCATACGTGATGTTCTTCACCCCGGGGTTCATTTCCTTGAGCCGCCGCTCAAACAGAGCACACAGCCCTGCGAGTCATGCATTGCGAGGAGAGAAATAAGCATGGATAAAGAAAAGCAGACACGACCTTTGTGCCATGTCTATTGCCCCATTGCCCTCAATCCTCCGCTCTTGGACCCCTAAACATGCTATCTAGGTATTGCCGTTTGGGGATCCTCAGCAGGGTTTCAGAGACTTTGGTCATGTTTAAGGTTTCAGGGTTGGAGCTTAGGATACAGGTGAGGGGTGCATTCTTTGGCTGGGAAATGGACAAGATGCATGCATTCATATTTCTAAAAACGGGAAAATCTATACAGAGGACGAGTGATAGCGAGGGAAGGGAAATACCATCTATGGCTTCTGCTGTGGTGGGGTACTCGATATAAGTACATGACGATTTCTGTGGCGCTGCTTGCAGCAGAAGAATGGTGTGCCCATCCTGATTGGTTGTGGGAGTGGTGGAGGACGGTGGCATGATTTGGGCAGAGCAGTAGGGACAGGGAATATCGAGCATGGAGAGAGAAAGAGAGAGAGAGAGAGAGAGAGAGAGAGAGAGAGAGAGAGAGAGAGAGAGAGAGAGAGAGAGAGAGAGAGAGAGAGAGAGAGAGAGAGAGAGAGAGAGAGAGAGAGAGAGAGAGAGAGAACAATAATCCGTAAGGATTAAGCACGAAGTGTGTGAAAGAATGCTATGGAGGAGTAACGCAAATTAGTTAAAAGATAGAGAGAGCATTGGACAACGGTGCGCGTTCCAGAAGGATTGGTTGGGTGAATGCAGGGGACAGCTGACAACGCAGGAGGGAACCCTAACCGAGTGGGTGTGTTTTGATTGACAGCAGTTGCTATGGCAGAAGACGAGTACAAACGGCGAGAAAACCCTAACGGAGGGGGGGCACACGCTGTGGCAGCCCAAATACGCCATCTCAAATCGTCAATTTGACATGCCAAATGCTAATCAGCTATAGCTTTTAAAACTAGAGTAAGAATGAGCGCAAGCATTCCTTACCATGTTTGTTAGCAATAAGCGAGTCAGCGCCTGCTGCGATCAGAGCGTCCTGAGCTGCCGCACAATTCCCCTCCCCTCGCCGCGATAACGAGCTGCTACGACCAGGCCAGGCGAGATTATCGATGAGCAGAAGAATCCTAAGAGAAACGTCCGTGTTCCCCGCCAGAACGCGAAGCGCTAGACCGACTTCCACGGCTCTTCAGAAGCCTGAATTTGGACAGCGGCTGTCGCCTAACAAGACAAACCTACACTGCTAAGCGCTCGATGCTAACTGGTTTCCGGACCAGTGCGCTAGAATAGGCTGGGTTAGGTCCGCGTTCGAAGCGCTATATGGTTCGTAATGTACTAACTTAGCTTACAGATGTTCAACAGAGAGCGGTGGCGTAGGAGGCATTCAGTAAATACCTGCCATAAAAAGGTCGGTATACAGAGATAAGTTGTTTTTTTTCTGGCTGTTTCCAAGATGCAAAAACATGTTTACCAAGACTGGAGCAGCCTGAACCGATTCTGGCTGTACCGCGTTCACGCGATTTGAACCTTGTCAGTCGGGGCGAACAAGGAAATTCACAAAATTATATTTCGTTGATCCATGTAACCATTACTTCGCTACAACATTTGAGCACGCGAACAGCATTCTCAGCTTCACCATTTTCGCGTTGGCGCAATATGAAAATGCTCACGCCGCGGTCGCGGTCGCGGTCGCGGCTCGTGACAGAGCAAGCATTCCCCTTCCACTCAAGCAGAATTGATTGACAGCGACCCAGATGGAGGGCGAGCGAATGTGAATGGTGTGGAAAACACCAGTCTAGCTTTCTGGCTTCAACAGCAGGAGATAAGCATTCTAGCTCACTTGACTCGCACGCATTTGCTGGTTCATAAGCAAATCCTCCCACATCACATCCGCCGCCGTTTTTCGCCATAGTTAGCATTTTTACGCCAAGAAGAAGTGCGGCCTTCTTTCCTCTCTCTTTCGAGTGAATGAACGCATGCCTACACATTTAGACATGGACCGATCCCCCCCTTACCGAATGCGAGCTCTCCCCCAATTCATCACCATCTCCCTCCTCCTATTCGTCATCCTGGCGCCGTCGCACACTTTCGCGAGTAGCGAAGCGGCTCCGCTAGATATTGCAGATCCTTTCGAGACTATAGACAGTGGCATTGACGCTGAGTCTTTCGGACCGCACATTGACTTCTCTTCTTCCGAATCAGCCGGCGCCGGCGCCGGCGGCGGTGGAGTCGGCGCCTTACCTGGCGGCCCGCCAAGCGTTCCTCGTGTGGCGCAGCTGCGTGGGGCGAGCGACGACGCTGCGACGCAGGCGAGCAGCGCCGTCGCCACAGGCAACAACCCGCACGTCGCACGACTGTATCTCCTGTCGAGGAAGAACTCTCGCGCGCGGTGCTTGGACGGTAGTCCTGCTGGATACTACCTGCGACGCGGGTTTGGCAGCGGCGCCAACAAATGGATTATGATCCTCGAGGTAAGCGGTCCCGCGTTCTCCCTTGCGTGTAAATCCGGGACCAGATGAACACTGCCTTCTCATGAACAAATGGATCATGATTCTCGAGGCAAGCGGTCCCACTTTCTCACTTGGGTGTGAAGTTGACTTTTGAGGCGCCTCAAAAGGTTCGGCATCGGCGTCAACAACTGGATCATGATCCTCAAGGTAAGCATTCTCCCAGCGGTGCCGCATTCTCATCTGCGTGAAAATTCGGCGCCACATTAACACTTTCTATGATGGAGTATACATGCTATTCGCTGATGCAGTGGACATGTTTTTTCGCTGATGCAGTGTACATGTTTTCCTCGCTGATGCAGTGGACATTTTCTTTTCGCTGATGCAGTGGACATGTTTTTTCCTGATGCAGTGGACATGTTCTTTCGCTGATGCAGTGGACATTCTTTTTCGCTGATGCAGTAGACATGCTTTTCCGGAGTAGACAGATCAATGCGACGATGCCGCCTAGGTTGTTCTAGGTACTATTGTACTTCTTTGGCGCTGCTCCGTTGACACGTTACATCTGCGTTTCTTCTGCGTTTGATCTGCATCGTCAGGCTGGCGGGTGGTGTTTCAACGCCAAATCGTGCGCGAATCGAGCCAAGGGGCCCCTCGGAAGCTCCAAGAAATGGCCGCCGACCAGCGTACGTAGTATTCCCGACCTCAGCACCTCGGATTCCCGCCGTAGGTAAAGAATAATTTCTTCAGAGGCGACACAAAGGTAGGATGTAGTCGAATCGACGCCAGTCGGCTTACGTGGTAGTCGACCTCAACACTGCGTATTGCGGAGCTAGGCCATTCCCGCACTCCTCACGACCCTTATTGCATTAGCTGCCTGCCTGTCCGGTTCGTTTAGATATCATACTCCTCCCCTTTCCCGCCCCCTCCTTCCCCTCTCCCCGCCTGCTCTCTTCTCCCCGCAACAGGACGTGAAATATGGCGGCGTGGGCAGCACGGACAGCGCCGTGAATCCCGCGTTCTACAACTGGAACCTGGTGCTCGTCAAGTACTGCGACGGCAGCTCCTTCACCGGCGGCTACGGCAAGCTGCCGCCAAACTCGGAGACGGGGCGCACGCTCTACTTCCGCGGGCACTGGAACCTGCAGGGCACGCTGCAAGGTGCGTAGCGTGGGATTCGGCACAAGCGAGTCGGATTCGTATTGGGATTCTCAGGAAGGTAGGCAGGCAGAGAAGTGTGCAGGACACGTTGCAAGGTGTGCGGCGTGTTGGGATTTTCATATTGATTTTGTGTTCTCGGGAAGCCTCGCAACGGTTTCGCGGGCACTGGGAGAACTGCAGGTCACGCTGCGGGTGCGTGGCGAGTGTCCTCTCTTTCTCTTCCGCGTTTCGTATGCTCGAGGCGTTTCAAACACAGATTCTAAAAAAAAAAGCAGATGCTGGTGGAATCTTTGACGTGCATAAGAAAAACATCCCCAGCCCCTTGTGACCCCTTCCTCTGCAGATCTGCTGGCTCGGCAAGGGCTGAACGCGGGCAAGCAGATGCTGGTGGGCGGCTGCAGTGCGGGCGGCGTTGCCACGTCAATCAAATGCGATCAGATCTCGAGGTGGCTGGCCAACTACAACATCACCACCAAGTGCTTCATGGACGGAGGCTACTTCCCAGGTAGGCTTCACTTGGGGAAGGTCTCATCTGGGATGAAAGCTACTTTCCAGGTAGGCCTCACTGGGTAGACTTATCTTGGGATAAGCTTCAAATTGAAGCACTTACAGTTTGAGCCCGTTGAACTTTAGACCATGCCAAGTCTGGAACTTCTTTTTAGGTATGGGTAGTCCCCACTACTCTTCCCAGCGCTGCCTGTTTCTCTCCGGTTCCCGCTCCATCAAGTTTCACTCGTGGGGAGCGGTCTGAAGGCCACATGAGGAGCTAGATGGCACAGCGTTTGGGCTTGACACGTCGCTGTTATCCCCAAGCCCTTCCCGTTCCCATCCCCCTTGACATCCCGCTCCCCCTCCCTAATCTGCTCCCCTCACCTCCGTTTCTGCTACCATTCTCTCCCCTGCCTGATCCCTCCCATCAGATGTGGCGGATAAGGAAGGGCAGTACAGCATGCGGCAGAAGGTGCAGCAGATGGCGGGCGTGCATGACATGGGACGCATAGGGATCAACGCCGAGTGCAAGCGAGGTGAGTCGCCCATGTCCAATGAGCAACGAGCAATGAGCACTAAGCATTGAACAATGGGCGAAAGGAACCCTCACAACTGATGCAAGCACAGCCTTCTCGGAGTAGTCTCCAGCAAATTTATGTTGAATGCAGATGCAATTCAATCGACTCTTTCCGGCTTGTACCTTTGCAAGGATATCCTCCACTTGCTCTATCCAACCTCTTGCGTTGCTTTTCATCCCTGTCTTTCTGTTTCCACTCTCCATGCTCTTGTTCTCTCTGATCCTCATCCTCAACCTATGCAGCCATGAAGAAGACAAACGAAACATGGAAGTGTTTCTTTCCCGAGTACAATCTGCAGTTCTCACGCTCTCCAATGCTCATTGTCAACTCCTTGTCCGATTACAAAGCCATCAGTATGACCCTCGCACCCAGGCCCAAAGGTACCCAGGACCCGCTGCTTCGGTGCCTGCGCTCCAGCTACCGAAGCTGCACTCCAGGCCAGCTGAAGCTGCTCCAGTCCTTCTCTGCCAAAGTTAGCTCTTCTATACAAAGGATTGTGAAGACGAAGATGGCTGAGAATGATGGGTTCCAGGCGTTTACATTCTCGCAATCCGCACATTGCGTGGTGGGGGAAGAAATGTGGCAGAAGGTACAGTCAACTGCTAAGGCCTTTTCTTCTGTTCCATCCCCCTCTTCCTCATCTCCTGTGGCAACAAGTGGTGGCACACCTTTATCCACATCCTTCGTCAACTGGTATCGTAGCTGATTAAATCAGTGTGGGGTTATGTGTTTGGGGCTTGTGGAGCACAGTTTGTGCTTCCTTGTTTTTTCATATCTACAGGATTTACTTCCAGGCATAAGTTGACAGACGAAATCAGTATATAATACAGAAACCTATCAAAATACAACCTTCAAGCGCGTACACAATTTGAGCAGCACTCCACTCAAGCTGCCAAAATCGCTCCTGCGAAGATTTCCCAGCACGGTTGCGACATGCAGTCTGCCCGCAAGGCAAGACGCGAGAGCGCAGTGGTCCCCACGCTAGCCGCAATTCTCGAATGGCAAGCCGCTTTGCCGCAGGCATCGAATGGCGAGCCATTTCGTAGCCCTCCTAGATTCTCGCTCTGCCCAAATTCGAGTTCGGGCAACACACGCGCAGTTTGTGTGTTCCAGCCCAAGCAGGAAAATGCACAGATTGGCTTGGCAATTGCCCCTCTCACGTGTTGTCTCGATGGTTTTCCATCACTCATCCCACCTGCCCCGCATCCACACCAAAACGGTCTTCCGTGGCTCAAGGGATTTGGGATGGTTTGGAGTGCAGAATTAGTGCAGAACGGTTTGAATGGCTGCTTGCTTGGCCTTCGCAAGCCCAATTCGCCAGCCACGCCAAAATGCAGTTTGGTCGGAGGTGGGTCTAGAAATTTCATTGGCGAGCGGTGCTTGTGGCTCATGAGAGCCATGTCGATGCCCGGCTGGCCTGGAGCGAGTCGGAGCTCACGTGCCGCTCCAGCGACTGAATGGACAGTCTTGCCAGGGACACCAAAGATGGGAGTGTTTTCTGATTCTCGCCTAGCCGCCCCCAGCTATTCTATACGTCAGTCTTGATGTGCTCCATCCGACGAATTCGGGCTCTTTGCTTGGAGAAACTATTGTTTCATCGCATAAATAGATTGGTTGAACCGACGTGTAGAGCTCTAAGCTGGTGCGTCTATCTAGGTTGTTGCCTATAAGCTCGTGCTTGCGCGTCGTACTTCGTCTTTGAAGCCATGGCCGCGCTTTTGCGCACTACTGCTCACCAGGGCCTGGCAAGTCTATCGTTGAGGAAACCTTCGATAGTAGAAAATAGTAAACGACTTGGTTTTTTCGGAGACAAGTATTTGAAGTGCTCGCAAAGCGGCAGCAGAGGACAAGCTCGACGTAATTTCGCTTCGCTACAAATCAGCTCTGTTCTTGAGGTAATAGACTAGGGTAATACTCTCAAGTGCTTTCAATTCACTCGTTTTGGAGAGTCCGTTTCTCATCGCTAGGGTTGCCGCGTGCAGGTCCCGAGTAGTCTTGAAGGTTCCTTTCCACCTGTGGTGTTCCCGACACCTGATGAAGGCGACTCAACCACGACGAGGTGGAAGGTCCTTCCTGACATTTGGCCAACTCTCTCGGAGCAGTACGCCGACAAGATCGCTGTTTTCGATCCGCATCACGGACAAAAGCGAGGCTTGACGTTCTCGGAGCTCGAGAGCGCAATTCATGATTTCGGCGAAGGTCTGCGTGTATATGGGCTGAAGCAAGGAGAGTGCGCCGCGCTTTTTGCTGAGAACTCGCACCGATGGCTTATTGCTGATCAAGGCAAGTCAATTTCCTGGGATGACGCTTGTATCCGGGTCTGGAGTGTCATACGAGTGTTTTTAAGGTCGAGCGTTATTTGATCATGCGCTTTGAGGTGCGAGCAGGCGTGATGGATATTGGTGCTCGTGACGCTGTTCGAGGAGCGAAGTCATCAGGAACGGAATTATTTCACATTCTGGAAAACTCGGACAGGTTCGTCAGAGCTTCCTTCGCTCGTCTCTCGTCAGTAATGTTTTCCGCATGGTATTGAAAAATAACCGCGTTTCTTGTGAATGTTTTACATTTCAGTACCGCTGTCATCGTGGACAACGTAGAGGTTCTTGTGCACATTGCCCCTTTCCTCGAAGCTTCTTCAGTGAAGGACATTGTCAAGTTTGCCGTTGTCCTTTGGCCTCCAGTGAGTAAAGGCCAGGAAACGAACACTGACTGGAAGACCAGCAGCACGTGCTCCAAATGGTTTTCTCTGTACTCGTTTGAAGAAGTTTCGGCTGCTGGGAGTGCCAGCAGGCTCACGCATGATGCTCTGTCGCGCTCAGCGCCTCGTCCAGCCTCCAGGCCTGATGACGTGGCAACATTGGTGTACACTTCTGGAACGACCGGGAATCCCAAAGGAGTGATGCTCACACACAGCAACCTGATGCATCAGGTCGGTCACCTCATATTTCCCCCCTTTTTCCTGCAACTTCATCCTGCTCTGCCTCCCGCAGTCTCTGGCTACATCCGTCACTCCCCCCATTTCGTCTTCTCTTTCGTCAACCCTCCTCTTGTTCCCCATATATCATTCACAAGGTTCTGCTAATTTAATAATTTTCTTAAAAATTCTCGCATCCCTTGCCATGACCATGCTGCGCAGGTCAACAACTTTGATTGTGTCCTGACGCCCGATGCTGGTGATGTCACGTTGAGCCTGCTACCCCCATGGCACATGTATGAACGCTCATGCGAGTACTTTCTACTGAGCCGTGGCGTCCAGCTCGTCTACAGCAATGTCAAGTCGTTCAAGGTTCGCGCAGCACATGATCACACTTCATTCCCCAGTTATTCCACAGAATTTGTGCGCCTAAATGAACGTGCAAAACTCTGATTGCAGGAAGACTTGATAAAATACCCTCCGGACTACTTTGTGGCTGTTCCACTTGTCTTTGAGGTTCTATACAGGTAATACCGCTACAGCTAATCATCTTTAACATCTAGCCACAATGATTTCTTTTTTTTTTTCTCAAAAGATCATTAAATTTCCTGTGTTGGCCTTGCAGTGGAGTCCAGAAGAAGCTTGCTGCAGCATCTGGTGCCAGAGCAGCAATTGCCAAGTTCTTGATCAAAGTCAGCGCTCTTCACAAGGAAGCTCTGCGCATCTGGACTGGAATGGCTGTCCTCCGCTCACGTGAAAATGTTCAGGGGTTGATGTTCATGAAGGCTGTGGCTGAATGTCTGGGAGCTGGGCTGTTGGCGCTGGTGCTGCTGCCACTCCACCTTCTAGCGGAGAAGCTTTTGTACACTAAGGTCAAAGCTGCAATTGGCATAAAGAAGGTATGGTGTAGCAACTAAGCTGGCTCAACAATTCTCACTGTTCGTTTTGTTGATTGCCGTTTTTTGTTGATTGCCCCGAGTTTTTCTATTATGCTTGTGCACGCAGGCAGCTGTGAGTGGGGGCGGCAGCTTGCCATCGCATGTGGACAAATTCTTTGAGGTATGGAGTGCCCAATGCAGGAGCAACCGATGCGGAGTTCCCAATGCTCATTGTTGGTTGATAGAATAATTGGTAACCTCTTGGGTCGTTGTCACGTTTTCTATGATGCGTCTTGTATTTTCAGCAAGTTGGGATCACTCTGCTCAATGGATATGGCCTCACAGAGACTTCTCCTGTGCTGACAGTCCGGCGAAGTTACAACAACGTAAGTGCGGCCACCTTGGAGCTTTCCAACTGTCACATGCTTGCTATATTGGACCCTGAGACTTGATTTGACTGTTTGTTTGTTTGTGGAGCAGGCATTGGGAAGCATTGGGAGTCCCGTCCCTGGAACAGAAATAAAGATTGTGGACCTGGAGACGGGAGTTGGTCTCCCTGCAGGCCAACGAGGGCTGGTCAAGGCACGTGGCCCCCAAGTGATGAAGGGCTACTACAAGGTGAGTCCCCCCTCCCTTCTGCATGATTCCAGTCTTTCGACGTTGTGCTGACATGGTGTGGGAGACATTGCTCAGAAAAGATTTTTTTGTGTCGGTATGCCAGGATTCTTGCACCTTTTCAGTGTAACAAAACTTATGTGCACGCGCTTTGTTGGTGTTCAACAGAACCAGGCGGCCACAGCAATGGCAATTGACAAGGATGGCTGGTTCTCCACTGGCGACCTTGGATGGATCTCTCCTTTGACTCCAGTTGGCGCTGCACGGAATGCGGGAGGGCTTCTGGTCCTTGACGGCCGAGCCAAGGACACCATTGTTCTCGCCAGTGGTGCGTGTGACTGGACAGTTGACAAGCACACACTTATTTGCAACTTTGACCTGATGTGTGTGTGTGGTTTATTTTTTATTCGATGTGTTTTTTTTCGAACAGGTGAAAATGTGGAGCCTGCCTTTGTTGAGGAGGTTGCACTTAGCAGCCCTGTGATCCGCCAAATAATGCTCGTTGGCCAGGTACAGTGTGTGTTTAGTGGGTCTTCAACGTGTGTATAGTGGGTCTACAACGTGTGTGACAGCTTAGGAGCAAGCGATCTCGGTCTGCCTACACTGATTGTCGATGCTCTTGAACGAACTATCTCTCTATGTATGCGCTGAGCCTCTGAGACTTGCTTGTCTTATGTTGTCAGGACCAGAGAAAGCTTGGAGCGCTGATTGTTGTGAATGAGGAGGAGATGGAGGCTGCAGTGGCAAGCATGAGAGCGGAGAAGGGGATGGAGGGAAACGAGGTGACAGAGAAGGAACAGAGGACTGTCGTGAGACAAGAACTCAACCGCTGGTGAGCTAGTCTGGGTCATCATCCTGTTTTGCTCAACTGTCTTGTTTTACACTGACATCATCGCATGTTTCTGTATTCAAAACATGCATTACACCTTCGTGCGGTTGAACATTAGCTTTTGAATATTCTGATTGTTTTTTTGCCTGCCTGTTTGTCCCATTTTCAGCTTTACTGAGGCAGGTTGTTTGCCGCATGAGCGGGTCGGTCCATTTGCAATCCTCGATGAACCATTCACAGTAAGCTTATCTATTTCTGTGTAGTCACAAACCAGGTCAATGTGGACTCTGTGTGTGTGGACTCTTGCTGACAATCCCTGCATGGTTTTTCTTTCAGGTGGACAATGGTCTTCTCACCGCAACCATGAAGATGCGACGTGATGTGATCTATGACAGGTACAAGGAGCTTTGTGATAAGCTTTTCCAACACTAGGTCACTCGGGGTTCCGCGACTGAAATATAGCGACGCAAGTGACAGCGTATGTGCTGAAAACAGCTTATTACGGTAGACAGAAACGTGCAATGCAAAGGGCTCTGATTTTATTCCAGCTGTACGCGGCGATAATGCAAGCATTCAAGAACAAACTACCTGGGCAAGCAATGAAGTTGATGGTTGACTTCGAATGTCTGTGCTAAAGGGTATGGTTATGTGATAGTACTGGTTATGGTACTTTAAAGGGTACGGTATATCAGTGCCTCTGAAGGATCATTGGGTAGCTTAGATGGCGTTCACAGGAAGTTAGCTCAAGCGAAGTAGGCTCAACAACAATGCACAGATATTTGTGAAGCACGTGTTTGGGGTTGCTTCACAAAAGCTTGTCGTGAACGATCTTGAAGTCGACGGGGTTACATGCACCTGATTGGGTTTGCGAAGTCGCTCAAACTCGTCTAGGTGTGTATCCACATTCGCATGGCACGTGGAGTGGGTGTGCGAGGTTGCAAATGTCAGAATACTAGCGTGAGAATGGTGCATTGAATGAAACAGTTGGGTACAAGTAGCTAACCCTAGTTGGGGTTGTACCCCATACTGGCTACCCCACTACAGCCTACCAACATATAACAGTTTAACACACCCCCATAGGCAAAGTGGGGGAGAACAAAGGGTCACAAGACCAGTCCAGCAAAGCAACGCAAGCCCAGGGTGGATCACAACGTCACCACACTCCGAGCACAAGCAAAGGCCACAAGGCCAGTTCACATGCAGTGCTAGATATAGTACAAGACAAGCAACACAGTGATCAAAACCTAGCAAGCAAGCAAAAAGATATATATAAAGTACAGTACAAAGAAAGTCAAGCAGTAAGCAAATGAGGGAATGTGGACACAAGGCCTAAAGAAGTACAGTGCCGCTGATGATCACTAGGCGGGAGCGCCTTGGTGAAGATATCAGCAGTGTTGGCCTTCGAGTCCACGTACACAAGCCGAAGCTGACCTCGCTGCTGCAGCTCTCGAGCAAGAAAGTAGCGAAGAGCAATGTGCTTCGTCCTGTGCTCCAGTCTGTGCTCCTGACACAAGGCAAGGGCCGCCTTGTTGTCGCCGTACAGAACTGGAGGAGAACTAGGCCGCTCTCCCAAGTCAGTCAGCAGGTAGGTGAGCCAGCGTAACTCCTGTGCAGCCATGGCCGTGGCGTAGATCTCAGCCTCACAACTAGAGCTGAGAACAGAAGAAGAGCGGGTGGACCGCCACGAGACAGAACCAGAGCCAAGGCTGAAGGTGTAACCCTGCGACGACCGCTGCGTAGCCAAGTCGTCCACCCAAGAAGCGTCCGAGTGACCAGTGAGAACAACTCTGTCGCGTCCTCCAAGCACCAGCCCCATGCCTGATGTACTGCACAAGTAACGCAGCACCCTCTTAGCAGCCTCCCAGTGCTCTCGCCTGTGTCTCCCAGGCGCAACGTAACGAGCAAGGATGCTAAGAGGGTACGCGAGGTCAGGTCGCGTGCAAGTCATCAGGTACATGAGGCAGCCTACAAGCTCTGGGTACGGGCCACTCGGCTCTACGGACTCGTCCGAAGGTGGAGCTGAGAGCGAGTGGCTGGTAGCCAGAGGTGTGGCCTGTGGTGAGGAGAACTGGAAGCCGAAGCGCTGAAGGACCTGCTGCACCATGTGTGACTGAGTCAGGGTAATGGTGCGGCGTGCTCTGTCCCGGGTGATCTGCAAGCCAAGGTAGCTACGCAGCTCACCCAGGTCAGTGCAGGTGTGTCTCTTCTGCAGCTCCGACTTCACACGAGCGAGTGCCTCAGTGTCAGCAGTAGCAAAGACCAAGTCGTCGACGTACACGAGAATGTAGAACGGCGGCAGCGACGTGTCTGTGCGCAGAAACAGCGACGGGTCAGCAGTAGACGGCGCGAACCCAAGGGCCGCAAGTGTAGTCCTCAGTGTGTCGTGCCACTCACGTGGCGCCTGGCGGAGACCGTAGACTGGCCGGCGGAGGCTCCACTGGGTACCAGGAGGAAACGACCCAGTAAAGCCAGGTGGGCGGCGCAGCCAGATCTCCTCGTGCAGGCTGCCCTGCAAGAAAGCAGTGCTGAAGTCAAGTGAGTGAAGCTCGTAGTCGCGGTGAGCGGCTATGTGCAGCAGCACCCGAAGAGTAGTCATCTTCGGGGTGGGGGAGAAGGTCTGGAAGAAGTCAACTCCCTCTCGCTGACTGAAGCCTCGAGCCACGTAACGCGCCTTGAAGACAAGCGGAGAACCCGGCGGCCGCTTCACCCTGAAAATCCACATGCCACTGACGATGTTCGCCCCAGGAGGGGGAACCTCGTCTACGTAGGTGCGTGTGGACTTCCAGGAAGCCATCTCGGCGTCCATGGCTGTCTGCCACTGAGAGGAGTAGGGACCCGCCATCGCCTCAGCGTAAGTGCGCGGGGTCGGGATGTCTGGTGCATCCGGGTCTCCCTCAGGGGCAACTAGCAAGGACACGAGACGGGGCAAAGCAGCAGCAAGACACTGGAACTCCTCCTGTCTGTCCTCAAGGACGTCCGTGCCAAGAGCACACTCACCCCCGACGGACGGAGGACAGACAGACTCAGACTCAGCAACAAGACTGGCGGCGTAGTCTAGGCGACATGCAGCAGCAAAGTCGACAAGCTCAGCGACCAGGGCAGACGCAGCAGAAGACTCAAACGACGGGTCAGTGACAACAGTGGCGAGAAGACGCGTAACAGTAGGGTGGGCAGCACGAACACTGTCAGACTCAGGGTCGGGAACGTCAGGAAGAGAAGACGCAGGAGGAGACGGTAGGGGGACACGCTGTGGACCAGTGGAAGGACGAAGGGCCATAATATGCGTGCCAGGAACAGGAGGAGGACGCGGACGCGCGACACGACGACCAGTGGGACCAGTGCGCGCAGTGCGAGCAGTGCGAGTAGCACGAACAGGCGAGGCAGGACGAGACACAGGCTCACGACGCTCCGTAAGCGAGTCCGGCAGTGCAGTGTAAGGTACAGGAGCAGGGAGGGGGGAGCCAGGCTGGAGGGGAAGGCCAGTGGAAGACGGGAGGGAAAGAACCTGGCGAAGCACCGTGTCAGGCGGTGGCAAAGCCGACGGTGACGGAGGAGCGAAGAACAGGCGCGACGGCGGAGCTCCGCCAGCACCTCCAGCACCCGCAGCACCAGAAGCACCAGGACCAGCACCCTCCGCCGCAGCACCCCCAGAGTCGGCGACGTCAGCACCAGAGGCCCCAGCAGCGTCAGACCTCCCCTCGCCAGCACCTCCAGAACCAGCAGGACCACCGTGTCCAGAACCGTCAGCTCCAGCGTCGTCAGCTCCAGCAGCTCCAGTACCGCCAGGAAGAGCACCCCCAGAGCCGGTAGCTCCAACTCCGCTGGCACCGCCAGCTCCAGAGTCCCCAGCTCCAGCAGCTCCAGCCTCAGTGCTCCCAGAACAGCCAGTCCCGGCAGCTCCAGTACCTCCAGTACGAGCACCTCCAGGACTAGCAGCTCCAGAACCTCCAACTCCAGCAGGGCCACGAGGACGGCGAAAGCGTCGGACGTACCAGTCACGAAGCTGCTGCGGTGTGAGAGACTGCTCAGCACCCCGAACCGGAGCACCCCCAGACGCAGCAACCCCAGGCTCCGTAGGCTCAGTCACAGTACCCCCAGGCTCAGTGCCCCCAGGCGCAGCACCCCCAGGCTCAGCACCCCCAGACTCCGTACACGCAGGCTCAGCACCCCCAGTCGCAGCACCCCCAGGCTCAGCACCCCCAGGCTCCGAACTCTCAGGCACAGTACCCTCAGCTCCAGCACCCTCAGTCCCAGCACCCGCAGCCGCAGCACCCCCAGGCCCAGCACCCGCAGGCTCAGCACCCCCAGGCTCAGCACTCCCAGCAGCACCACCTGCAGCAGCACCTGAGTCACCTGTGACCTCGACAGGCTCAGCGACGGGAGGAGGGTCTACCTGAGAGACACCTGAAGGAGCAGGACCCTGAGGGGGAAGGGGGTCTACCGGAGGGGGACCAGGAGCGAGGAAAAGCGGCGGGGGAGGGAGGGGGGCAGTGCGGTAGGGGAAGAGACGGTAAAAAGGGACCGACTCGTCAAAGGTGACGTCCTGAGAGGCGAAGACCCGGCGCGAGGTGGGGTGGTAAAACTGCCAGCCAGGCGCGTCAAGGACAAAGCCAAGGAAGACACAGGGAAGCGTGCGGGAGGAGAGCTTGTCCGCGGACGTATCGCGGACAAGGGCACGAGCACCCCACACCCGGAAGCGCGACGCATCGCCAACCTCCCCCGTCCAACGCAGTGTGGGCGAGGTCTCCGGCAAGGAGACACGGGGCCAGAGGTTGAGCTGATGCGCGGCGTACCGGACAGCAAACGGCCACAGAAAATGGGGAGCCGCCGCATGGACCAAGGAGGTACGAGCGACCTCCATGACCAGGCCAATGCGGCGCTCAGCAACCCCATTCTGCTGTGGGGAGTCCGGAAGCGTGAAGGTCTGCTCGATGCCCTCCGCCTGACAGAAGGTCCTCAAGAGGTCGGAGGAGAACTCACCACCTCTGTCAGAGTGCAGATGCAGGACAGGAAGATCTGTCCGGAAACGGCGGCGGAGCTGGAGACGAACTGTGCGGATCCAAGGGATCAGAACAGCAGGGACCTCACCCTTGGTGCGCAAGGGGAAGACCGTGGTGTAACGCGAGTAGTCGTCGACAACCAGCAAAAAGTACCGCTCACCGCCCTGGCCACGAACGCGGGCTGGGCCCCACACGTCCAGGTGGAGGGTCTGCAGAGGAGCCTCTGTCGGGGGGAACGAGGAGGAGTGAGGAGCGGCGCGCTGCCGCCCCTCGACGCAAGGAAGGCAAGGCGGCGCAGGCGAGGCAGGGAGGGGAGGGAGGGACCTGGGAAGACCAGACACAAGGTGGCGACGGTGCATGCCACGGAGGCGTGGCAAGGAGGGGTGGCCCAGGCGGTGGTGCCAGAGAAGAGTCTGGTGCGACAGGGAACGA